GGCTGAGCATCATAATCACACGGGTGGCCTTTATAAATAGAAATTCCTGGGCCTTAACCAACCCTGCTTACTTGAATTTCTCCTCCTTCTTTTGCAGCCAGGTGGCCCCTAATGTGAAGGGAATCCCCCTCGAGTTGAGAAGTGAGGCAGTCTTTAACTTCTCTAGTTAAATCCTCTCTAGCTCAGCTTAAAGGCAACTTCTCTATGAGATGAAGAGTGATGCCGACTATCTCCTTTGAGCTGTCGCTTGGACTCACTGTTCCCCCAATTTTGGCACTTCTCACATACTGCCTGTTATTTTTATTTAACTATTTCAAAGCTTTGCCTCTTGTTTCCTCAGTTAGCTACTGGAGGATAAGAACTATGCCATATCTTTCTATTATTGCCCACAAATGCCAGCTCCCATCAGCACATAGTATATGTTCAATAAATATTTGTTGAATTGCAAACCTCGTAAGAAACCCGAAATAACTTCCAACTTATTTGGGGAGATGTTCTGTGTCCTTTGGAAGCTCTTTGCTCACATGGAAAGAACGTTAATCAAAGAGACAGGAGATCTAGCTTCCCATCCTGGCTGTGTCATGAATTCCCACTATGACCCACAGCAGGTCATCAGCTTTCACTAGCCCTCAATTCCCTCATTTGTGAAGCCAGGGAGGGCTAAGCTGTAAAGTTTTTACACTTTTAGTTTTTAGCTCTGTGTTTGGGTTACTCTAGATAGCAAGGGGCAGCCTTTTTCATGGCAGTGTCTTTAACACCCATGGTGCCTTTTTTTCTTCCCCTATAAGGGCTGCACAATTGATGGGTCACCCCCCATTTATAAACTGAGAAACTCAAGTGAAGAGTAAGTGCTTTGGCCAAGCTTCTGTGCACAGCATGTGTGCAGGGTTATATGGGACTGTCAGCTCTTTCCAATTTTAGTATATGTGCTGCCCAAGTGAGCACAGAACTGTCAACTCTTTATTATCTGCGTGCCTGCTATCTCCTCTGTGAATGACCCAGGGCAAAGGTATGACCTTCTAGCTGGATGTCCGTTTGTCCCTCTGCACTCTCCCAACCAGAGCCAAAATGTCCACTGCCATTTTCAGTAAGATCTGTTCAAATTCTGTCCTTTGAGGCGCAACTGGGGGGCTCAGTGGATTAAGTGTCCAACTCTTGATTTTGGCTCAGGTCATGATCTCAGGGTGGTGGGATTGAACCTTCGGGCTCTACACTCACTGCTTGAAGATTCTCTCCCTCCGTCTCTCCCCCTTCCCTCACTAAAACAAAACAAAACAAAACAAAAAACAAATACTGTCCTTTGAGGAGAAGATGCAAGGCACTAGTCTTGCCCTCATAGAACTTCTAGTCTGTCTAGCAAGTTGGGATAAGAATGTGTGGGAAAAGTATGTGCAACCATCTGTAAAGGGAGCATCTGGGAGCCAAGTGCTGCTCCAGTACCTACAACAGTGCCTGGTATATAGAAGATGCCCTACAAATAAATGAAAATAGGTGAAAATTACTATGGCTTTCAAACTTCTTGTTTTATTTATATTTATTTAAATTCTATTAACATAGTGTATTATTAGTTTCAGAGGTAGAGTTCAGTGATTCATCAGTTGTACCTCACACCCAGTGCTCATTACATCATGTCCCCTCCTTAATGCCCATCACCCAGTTACCTCATCCCCCCCCCACTTTCCTCCCTCCAGCCACCCTCAGTTTGCTTCCTATGATTAAGAGTCTCTTATGGTTTGTCTCCCGCTCTGATTCCCTCTTGTCAAACTTTTTGTTTTAAAGAAGGGATGTTGGCTAATTGAATTTAAATTTAAAAAAAAAAGAAAAAGAAAAAGCCTTTCTTCAATGGCTTCCCGAAGCTCACTACAAAACAAACAGACAGTTGCAGTGCTGCCCTGGGAGAGGGAGCTAGGGTAGAGCCCTGCCAGCTGACTCCTGTGGGCCCAGAAAGGTTCCTCGGTGCCCAGTTGGAAAATTTGCTGTAGTCACTGGGAAAGGGGATGCAGATCAACCCTTGCTCTTTTTCCCTTCTCGTTAACCTTAGCCACATGGTGGCATCCTTAGCATCCCAGCCACACCTTAGCATCCTAACAAAATAAATGGAGCTTTGAAGAACCAGGCACTCCAAACGGAATATTTGCATCTGAAAAACTGTTGTCAATCTCTCCTCTCCCCTCCTCGTAGGGAGCTCCAATGAGTTAAGAGCAGAGTTGAGGAAGTTTTGAGTAGGACACTTTCGAGTTGGTCCACAAATGTATTTCGAGGTAATGTTTGTTTACTTTAAATAAAGAAGGAAAGAAAGCCATTGCGGTAATGTTTTCCAGAATTCAATAGAAGCCCATTCAGTGTTATCCTACAGGCAGTGCTGATATGCAAATACAATGGAAAACTCCTGAAGTCTGTCTGCTCTGTCTGCTTTGTCTGCTCTGGACTGAATGTTTGTGTCGCCCACCCCATTCATATGTTGAAACCTAATCCCCAACGTGATGGTATTTGGAATTGGAGCCCTTGGGAGGTGATTAAGTTAAAAGGGCTCTCACTCTTGTGAATGGAATTAGTGCCCTTATAAAAGAGACCCCGGAGAGATCCCCTCACCTTCCACCATTGGGGGACATAGCCAGAAGATGGCTGTCTATGAACCAGGAAGTGGGCCCTCACCAGACACCGAATCTGCTAGAGTCTTGATCTTGATCTTGTTCAGCCTCCAGAAGTGTGATAAATAAATTTCTGTTTCTTATAAGCCACCCAGTTTATGGTATTTTGTTATGGCAACCTGAATGGACTAAGACAGAGCTTATTCAACAGCGGGGGAATTTGAAGGGTGAAAGGAGCTTCCCTTACTTAGTACGTTACTGGGAGCCCCAGCTTCTCCTACGCTGCCTGGCATGGCCATCTCCTCCCCTCTTGGCCAGTCCCCTGACTTCTCTATCTTCAAAAGCTAGCTCAGGCCTGACCCCGATGAAGAGGACAGCAGTCTAGCCACCCTGCCTTTCCACTAATGCTGCTGCTGCTGACTTCACCCCCTTGTCCAAGCCATCCCCTCCCCCTGCCACCGCACACATAGCACATAGCATTTGGACTAGTCTTGTACTTAAGTAGTTGAGTTGGTGTCATGAAATTTCAGTCTTAGGATAGAAGCCACTGAAGGTGAGGGCTGGAGGGAACCTTGGAGATCAGGAGAAACTAAGGCCTGAGTGGAGAACTTGCCTGAAGTCTCATAGCCAGCGAGTCATGGCAAAGCCAAGGCTGCAAGCCAAGTTTTCCTAGGAGCGCCTTATGCCTTCATGGCTACATCCTGCATTCCTTGGTTTCTTTTCTTGGTCACTTTCCCCTCTGACCCTTTCCCCAGTCCTGTCTCACCAGAGGGAGGCTCTAGATATCACTGCATGACAGTGTACTTGTTTGGGACCTAATGTTGACTCCACGGGACATTAATGGCCTAAAAAGACACAGAGCCCTGACGGAGCCGGTGGTCCCCAGCTCTGAAACCTGACTTTATCCCGACTAAGATCATCCCTGGCATGTGTTCAGAACCCAAAACGTCCGCTCCTAGAGCTTAGGTCATTTGCCCAAGGTCACTCAACTAAGAAATGGCCACAGCAGGAGCCAGCTGTAGGTCCTCAGGCACTGGGATGGCGCGTGGCCCCAGCGCGAGGCTCCAGGCAAGGCTCCGCTCGGAGCCCACAAGCCGAGGAGCCCGCAAGCCGAGGAGGCTAACGGAGCCAGGCAAGCCCAGCCCCTGCCTCTCTGCTCGCAGCAGCGTGGCCTTGGGGGATGTGCAGTATTCCTCTAGGTCTCTAAGCCTTATTTGTTTGTGCTGGTGGCTCCCGTCAGAAGCGTGAGGACTGCGCGGGGGGGGGGGGGGGGGGGGGGGGAGAGGGAGAGTGCGGGGAGAGATCCCGCGAGCGTTCACACTGGCCCTCTGGAAAGTAAGGGGGGCACCCTCGAGGCCGCCTGGCTCCTTGCGCGCCCCAGCACCACGGCCCGGGGCGCACACACAGCAGCCCCCTGCTGTGACGCGCCGACGTTCGGGAGTTGCAACCCTGGAGGCGACTGGGCCCCGCCGCTCGAGTGCGCTGGGACTCATGGACTCCCCCCCCCCCCAGGAGCGCCCTCGGGTTCAGTCCCACCTGCGGTTCTCCCACCTCCCCAGGGCACCCACTGCGCCCAGCGGGCCAAGTTCTCAGGGCCGCGCCCCTTGGCCAGGGGCCGGGAGCCCCCAGGACCGCGTGCCCAACCTCCCCCCGCCCTCAGCGCAGGTTCCGGCTCTGGCTGGCGCGAGAGGTGAGGAGCCGGGCACGCGAGGCGCCTTCCCAGGGCTCCAGGGGCAAGCGCATCTTCCTGACGCGTCCCTCACCGCTTGGCGAGCGCCACCCAACTTCTGCGCCCGCCGGGCCCTCCCTGGTCCGGGTGGCTCCCAGTACAGAAGAGCAAGCACCCTCGGACGACTACACTCACTACCTTTGGGGGGTGGGCAGCCCTCGGGGAAGGCGATTAGGGACCCCTAATGTGAGCAGCCGGGACGGGGCTCCCAGGGCCGGAACTAGAGTGGGGGGGGCGTTGTGGGCTTCCCGGGCGACCGTCCCAACACGCTTCCCTTGGAAGACGTCAGCCGTAGCCCCTAGGAGGGCAAGCCTTCTGCCTCTCAGAGACCAGGTGGGCTGCGCGCGAGATCTCGGCGTCTCTGAGGATGGGTTGGGGGAAGGGCCGCTAGCGAGCGGCTGGCTGAGGGGACCTGTTTGCTGGCGGGTCTGGGGGTGGGATCCGGTACGGTCGGGTGACGGAGAAGCCTGAGAGAAAACTTTGGGTTTTCTTCGCCTGCCTCTCCTCAGAAAAGGAACCACATTGTGAGGGGGGGGATAAGGGGGAGAGTAAACACACAAACAACCTCAAAAAGAAGCCAAGAAAAGCGAAGCCAAGAGCAGCAAGCGCAACACTGTTACAAAACTGTCTGGTTTTGTAACAATTTCCCTGCCGCCGGCCAATGAGCGGCGTGGCGGCGCGTCACGTGGTACTGTCTTATATAACACTTTGCTGAGACAAGACAGTTATTAGCGGCGGCGCGGGGCGGCCGGCATGGAGCTCCCGGAGGCGCGGCAAGGACCGGCACGCGGCAACGCTGTGGCCGTGGCAGCCTGGATTCCCTTCAGCCGTCGCTCTCTGTTCTAGGTCTCTAGCCCTAGACGCCTCTTCCCTGTGCGCCTGCCTCTCGCCATGGATTCACTTCAGACTGGACAGATGTTGAGCTTGCCCGCCGAGCTCGGCGGCAACAACTTAGAACTGGCGGAGCCGGAGCCGGCGGAGCCCGCGACCTCAGCGGCCCGCGTAGATACCGACCCCCAGCCGGAGGCGGCTACCAAAGGCCCCGCTCCTCTAGCCACTCAGGAGCCGGGGCCGGAGGAGCAGCCTCCCGAGACCTCGACGCCCGAGAGCAAAGTCCTGCTCCAGCAGGCTGACGCCCTGGCGTCTGGGGGGCGCCTCCAGGAAGCCCTTGAGGTGTACAGACAGCTCTCCGAGCGGCAGCAGTTGGTGGCCGAGCAGCTGGAACAGCTGGTGCGCTGCCTGGCCCAGAAAGTCTCAGAAAGCGAGGCGCTGCCGCCGGCGCCCCCGGACGGGAGCGGCGCGGCGAGCTGTGAGGCGGTGGCGGAGGAGGCAGGGGTGACAGCGGCCGCCGCCGAGGCCACCGAAGTGTGGGACGGTTTCAAGTGCCGGAAGTGCAATGGATTTCTGTCAGACCCCGTGTCCTTGTCGTGCGGCCACACCTTCTGTAAACTGTGCCTGGAACGCGGGAGGGCAGCCGACCGGCGCTGCGCTCTGTGCGGGGTTAAGCTCTCGGCATTGATGGTGGCCGCCAGCAGGGCCCGCGGGGTCCGGAGAGCCGGGCAGCAGGCGGAAGCGGCCGAAACGCCGCAGCCGCAGCCGCTGCCGCCGCCGCCGCCGCCACCACCGCCGCTGCGGGTCAACGTGGTGCTCAGCGGCCTCCTGGGCAAGTTGTTCCCCGGCCCCGCACGGGCGTCGCAACTCCGGCACGAGGGCAACCGGCTGTACCGAGAGCGCCAGGTGGAGGCGGCGTTGCTGAAGTACAACGAGGCGGTTCGCCTAGGTGAGCCCACCGGTCGCGGCCCGGAAAGAACGCGACGGGGAGTCGGGAGGTGGTGGGCTGGGGCCCACGGGGACACGGGCGACCGTGGAGCGAGACGGGGGACGTTACCGGAGTGGGGGAGGGGTGTCTGGAGTTCCGTCTCTGACTTGGTCTGTGTCGCTACCAATTTATGGCCCTTTCTGTGTCCCTGTCTCTGTCGCTCTTTGTCTTTTCCTGTGTCTCCTCATAGCCCATAATCCCGAGTCTCCCAGCCGGTTTCTGTCTCGGTCACTGTCTGTCTCTTTTCGCGGGCCTTTGGCATCTTTGTCTCCCCGTTTCGTGCGCGGGGTCGCGGTCCCTGTGTCGGCCGCCTCGGCCTCTTCCTGCCCGCACCCGGCTCCCTGCACCTGCCTGCACCTTCCCCGCCCGCGGAGGAACTTCGCACCCTTCTCACGCTCGCGCCGGGGCCGCCGGGCTCCCGCCGGCCCGCGACGTTCGGTCGGCGCGGGCGTCCCCCGCTCCCGCCCGGCCCCGGGGCGGCGGCGGCGGCGAGAGTTGGCCCTTCCGGGGCCGCGGCTCCCGGTGGGGTGGGTCCGGCGTGGAATTAGGTCAGGAGAGCACTGGTTGCATAAGGGCCGCGAGCGGGCCGGGCAGGGCGGCCCCTCCTCCGCGCGGGCGGGATTGTGTAACGGCTGAGGTAACCGAAGTGGGCCACGCTCGCCTCAGAAACCATCCCGCGAGCGTGTGCGGGGGGAGGGGAGCGTTCGCGCCCCGCTGCCCTGTGACTCATTGTCACCGCTTCCTATCACACGGTCCTCGGCTGAAATAGATGCCCCCCCGCCCCGCCCCGCCCCGCCCCGCCCGCAGCCTGCGCCCTCTCCTCGAACCCTCACCCCGCCAGCCCGGCCGGCGCCCGCGCGGCGCAACTGCTCAGGGATCCGCGGGGACCGTGGGCTGGCAGTGGGGGGAGGGGCCGCCTCGGTCCCCGCTGCCGCGCTGCGGGCCGGAGGGCGGGTGGGCTTGGCAGCTTCAAGGGCAACGTGGGCAGCCCCGCGGCTCTGGCCGCAGCGGGGCGCCCAAGCTCCCTCGAGGAGAGGCTCCCACCGATCCTCCGTCCCGACCCAGGAAGTGGCTGCCGAGGCGCGGGGCCGGTAATGCCCAGCTCGGTCCAGCTGCCGAGAGCTCTGCCGGCGGGGCGCGGCGTCTGGCGCTGGAAGCGGGCGGGGCCTCCTAGGTGGCGGGGCCGGGCAGCTGGGACTGTGGAATCTGTGGGCACCCGGAGCCCGACCGACTCCCGACGGGTGGAGGAGGAGTGGGCTCGGGGCTCCACGTGTGGAGTCGCTCCCCGAATTTGCAACAAGTAGCGGGGGGGGGAGGGGAGGAGCGTAGGCTGGCTGTGCAAGGCTGGCACTCGAGGAAGAGGGAGACCCTTCCCTCCACGCAGGTCCTGTGCCCAGGCAAGGCACATGGCCAGGTGCAACTGGGCGGGCGAGTGCTGTAGAACCAAAGGGACCAGGAAAGCCCCTTCCCGCTCTCTTCCTCCTCCTTTGTCGCCGTCACCACTTTTCCCCTGGGGGTTCTCCCTTCACCTTTGTTAATATGAGCGGTCAGGGTGACAAAATCGTGATGGCCTTACCGTTTTAAGAAGTAAGGGGCCTCTCCAGGAGGCGAGTATCTATGTGCTGGAAGGTGGCCAGTGTCTCATTATTTTAAGTACTGCACACCTTAAAAAAAAGAACATGTCCCCCACCCCAGCTTCAAAAGCTTCAAAGTCTGACCAGCTAGCTGTATGACTTGGAGTGGATGCTTTCTGCCCCCTGGGCTTGATTTTCCTCATCTGAAGAATGGTTTGGTTGAGCCAGGTGATCTCTAAATGCCTGTCCAGCCCTGGCATCTAGTGATTCATAGTGTTAGTGAGAGCCAAGCTCACTTTTTTCCCAGCAGCCTTGTTTAGGTTTACTCATGTTTGGCCATCTAATGTGATAACCTTCCAAGTGCATTCAGAGAAACTTCATATGCACTGGGCTCTGTAGACAGAGAGTTGCCAATGTCACTAGAAGACTAACCTGGACTTGTCTTCCTGGTGGACATGATGGGGGTCACATCTGGCCATCTCCCTTTCTCTTGTCCCTGGCCTGTTTCTTCGTAGGTGATACCTCACTCAGAAGCCAGGCTGCCAGTTAGCCATGCATAGTCACAAAGTAGGGGGTCAGGGTTTCTTCTATGTCAGAGCTGTTAATGCACCCCTGACCCCACAGGGCCTGTAAGGATCTGCTTGAGAAAGGAGCAAAAATTATTTCTTTATGAGGCACCTGGGTGGCTCAGTTGGTTAAGCATCCCAACTCCTGATTTCAGCTCAGGTCATGATCTCAGGGTTGTAAGATGGAGCCCTGGGCATTGAGCCTGCTTGGGATTCATTCTCTCTCTCCTCTCTCTCTCTCTCTAATAAAATAAATACATAAATAAAAATAAACTTTAAAAAATTAGTTCTTTATAGTTGGGGAAGCTCAGACCCAGAGTGGTTAGGGGGTGTGGCAGGCAGGGCAATATCAGGGCTGGAAATCGAGGCTAACCCTTTGGATCCCCAGTAGAAAAATCCTAGATAACGTGCCATTTGCTCAAGATCTATCCTCATACAGGACTTATTATGTGTTTGTGCTGGGACCACTAATGAGAGCTGTTTTTTTCCTCCTCATTCTGGCAGCTCCAAATGACCACCTGCTTTATAGCAACCGGTCTCAAATATATTTCACCTTGGAGTCTCATGAGGACGCACTGCATGATGCAGAAATAGCATGTAAGCTCCGCCCAATGGGTTTTAAGGTGAGTGGGATGAGAGGGATGGCAATGGGTTGTACTATAGACGGGAATTGGCAGGAAGCCCTACCTCCCTGGGGGCTTGGGGGCACTAGGGCTCCAGCAAAGCAGGGAGAAAAGGCTTTGCAAAGGAGCTGGGGGTCCCTTGGCAAAGGGTGACTCAGGGGTCTGCAAAGAACTGGATTCTTCCCCAATTTACTTCTTTACCTGATGACCTGCAGAACAGCTTAGGCTTTATGACTATTCAGAACATGGACTTAGCAGTCAGACCACCCCAGCTCTGCTACTTCTACCAGCTGTGTGGTCACAGGCAAGTTACTTAACCTCTCTGTGTCTCATGTCCTCATCTATAAAATGGGGGGATATTCAAAGCACCTACTTAACAGGGTTCATTGTGAGGATTACACGAACTAATATATGTAAGATGCCTAGAACAATGCCTGGCACATAGCATTATATGTTCTATCATTCTCAGGGACAGTAGAAAGAAGAATGTGAAAAAAGTATTACTGGCTGGTTGTGTTATTTTGAGTCCTTAATACACTCAGCCTGCTGGTATCCCCAAACATCTAGGTCACATGAAGGGATGGTCAGAGAAAGGCTAAGCACCTCTCGGGATGCTAGGATGCAAAGTGTCACTTGCTGCATCTCTGGCCTCAGGACTGGCCCTTAGCCACATGTCAATATTTTGTTTAGGAGATGAAGTTTGAGCCTGGGCTCTACTACTTGCAAGCAAAGTGACCACGGGGAAGTTACTTCACTCTCTGGACCCCAAGTGTCCTCATTTGCAAAGCACAGCTATTGCTGTCCACCCCAGTTGCTTCCTAGGGGTGTGATGTGAGGGTCACATGTGAGCATGACCAAGAGGTCATTCTGGGAGCTCTACCATTTGCTGGGCCTTAGTGCAGTGCTCTCTCTACATAATCCCCAGGATGCCACCTCGGAAATCCACCTTACCCATGTCCAGATCTGTGATCCCTTATCTGCATCCCATGGGGCCAGAAGTGTTCAGAGTCCAGAATGTTTCTGATTTCAGAAAGACCATATACTAGGTGATACCCTCAGTGAGTTCTGGACAGCATCCCATAGGCATACACACTAATATTTCTGCAGTACGTTAAGTGAAGGTTCATACTAAGTGAGATAAAGATTATAACGTACTCCATATCATTGTAGGTTAGGTTTTGCCACCTAATGACTTTTTATGCCAAGCTTATGAAACTTCAGATTATCGGACTGTTTCTAGAACTGGGAACCTCAGATAAAGCATTTGTGGACCTGCATACTGGGCCATTAGTGTCAGATTGAATCCCTTATGTTCTTTGATGAGGTTTTCACAGGCGATGGCAGAGTTGTATGTTCTCCTTCCCAAGGAACAGATTTATAGTTTACTAAAGTCGAAGTCTTGACCCAAAGGAGCTTCAGTGAGAACATTTCATGCTTTATAGCAGTGCAGGTGAGGAAGCTGCCTAGGGGTAGGAGGACTTCTCTTGCACCTTCTTCTGCTCCCACCATAAACTTTGGGCCTAAGGGTAGGAGCCTTCATAGTACAGTGGGAAACATGGCTGAGAAGTAGTGGACCATTTCAGATGAAATGGGAAAAGTGACTTCCCAGTGAAATCAGAGTTGGTGGAAGTAGTAAACAGGAGTTTCATTTGGCCAAAGTGCTGGGGTAAGTGGGAGAGCAGTGTAGAAAATGAATGGTACTGTCTTGAGGGTTGAGACAGGATGCCCCTTAGGGGAGAAGTGCACCTCCTGCAGCCCTATTCCAGCCACTCCAGCCAGGCACAGTGGTACTCAACATATCCTGCAGGTGGTACAACTCTTGGTGGGTGGGCTGGCTGCCCTGAGCAGGTGGAGTACATGGGTTGCTATTTGGTATGATTGAGGGGTCCTAGAGTCCTCTCCAGTCTTCCAACACTTATCCCTTCTAGCCCCCTGAAATGTCATGCAAGCTTTTCTCCAGGGGGCCCTGGTAAATGCTGCAGAGAGGAACAATGAGGGAAGCCGTCAGCACCCAAGTATCAGCTGAGATTAGGTTCCAGGAGGAGCTTGAGGGGCACAGGGGAGGACCTCAAGAGGTTTGGAGTGGGGGCCACTGCTTGAGAAGGCAGATCCCTGTCAGCGCCTGTAGCTAGGCTGGAGCCAGAGGGCACCACCCCAGGGCCTGTAGAAGCATGTTAGGAGGGGAAGCTGGGAGTGCCCAGCAGCTGCAATCTGGATCATTTCCTTCTCTAAGTTAGACTCAGGGTCAGCCGTGGAGGCAAGGGTGTAGGGAGCAAGCCCCCCAGGGGCACCCTAGATGACTTCAGGAGCAGTACCCTCCCAGCCAAGTTGCAACGACCACCTGTCCTGAAGCACAGAGTGTAGCCCTCTTCCTACCTCTTGTCTTGTTCCCCCCTCTTTCCCAAGATGCTCCTCTGCTACCTCTAGAGTTTCTCTGCCAGGAGAGTTGAGCAGGGACCCCGGGGAGGCCTAAAACCTTATACTTTTTAAAAGAAGAGTTATCTATTTATTTGAGGGAGAGGGAGAGGGAGTGGGGGAAGCAGCAGAGGGAGAGAATATCCAAGCAGACTCCCACTGACCAGGGAGCCGGATGCGGGGCTAGATCTCATGAGCCAGGATATCAGGACCTGAACTGAATCCAAAAGTTGGATGCTTAACCAACTGAGCCACTCAGGTGCTCCTAAAACTTCTTTATACTTTTTAGAGATGTGGGAAGGGAACAGAAGTGAGCTGAGCCCACAGGAGGGAAAGCACTAACCAGTCCTCAGTCCCTGGCTAACCCTCTAAAGTGAAGTCTGTTTTGTGGGGAAGAGCATTCTGGGGGTCCTAGACTACAGTTCTAGTTCCAGTTTTGCCACTAACTACCTTGAGGTCTTGGAGAGATCATGTCCCTTCCTTTGGGCCTCTTCTGAAAAATGATCAGCTAGTATAGTTGATCACTCAGCCAGTAATGTGGACTAGGTCTCCACTTGACAGACTAGTTAGTAGGAAGGCCTATCTGGGTGGGTCCTGGAAGCTGGCTAATATGTGCTTAAATGAGGATTCCTGCTACATTTGGCAATGCCTCCAATACTACAGTGGGTTAGTGGGGAGGTCGTATGGCACAGAGGTTAGGAAATTGGACTTTGGTATTGATCAGTCCCAGACTTAAACCCCTGATTCCACAATTTACCAGCTGTGTTACTTTGGGCAAGTCACTTTTCTGGATCTCAGCTTTATCTTCTGTAAAATGGGCTTTGGAACATTTTGCCTACATGATAGGGCTGTAGATAAGGTAGTCCTAAAACCCTTCACACGGTAGTGAACACTCGCTAAGTGTTTGGCTTAAGTCAATAAGTGAATAAGGACAGGATTGAATGCTAATGTTTTCTTCCAGGCACACTTCAGAAAAGCACAAGCCTTAGCCACCTTAGGCAAGGTGGAGGAAGCACTAAGGGAGTTTCTATATTGTGTGTCCCTCGATGGAAAGAACAAAAGAGCAAGATCTGAAGCCAAGAGGGTGAGTTGAGATGACGTCAGGTCCAGCTGCCCAGTGGACTCCCACTTCTCTGTCTTCTCCAGGGAGGGGAGTGAGGGAACTGCCCTCCCTGACATTTAAGCCCTGAGTGTGTGGCCCCCTTGGTTAAGGGGCAGGAAGGAGAGACAAGGGCCAATTGCCTCTTGGCATACACAATCGGATTGAGCAGTTCCTGCATTTTTGGAGGAGCTTCTGAGGAATATTCTTGCTTCTTAGATTCAGAGTCTGGGTTGTGAGTAGGAAAACCAAACCAAAGCAAACCAAACAAGTTAACATGGGGATGGAGTCTCACTGAAGAGAATCTGGCTGTTGATGAGAGGTCAGGGGTGTGGGACTGCCTGCAGTTGTAGAACTTTGCTTTGGCTGAGTCACAGCTTCACCAGCCACACAGGGCAGGCAGCTTCTCATCAGGAATGTTGGTCACCATCTCCCTCTGCTATATGCAGAACTCCAGCCTTCAGCCTTTGCTAGAAATAGAATACACACTATCTCACAAATGTAAGTCAGGGATCATTATGATATAATCCAAGTAGTCATGCTAACTCTTGAATCCCAGGAGAATGTGATTATTTTGTTTTGCTTTTTAATTCATGAAATGTTAGCATTGGTAAAGGGCTCAAGCATCCTCAGTTCCTGGTCTGCATTGTTTACTGGTCTGCAGTGTGCTTCCATGGTATGTAGCTAATTGGCCTGGAAGTTGGATGCTGACAATCAGTGGTAGCCTCTGCCCTCCTTGTGCCCCTCCCCCTACTTACCACCTGTCTCAAGTGCCTCTCTCCCAGTGAGGTTTGGCAGAGCCATGGATGAAGAAAGGGAGCTTGGTTTCTGAAAGCTCCAGAAAGGAATCTTTAGCAGAATCAATGAACTAGGGGAAGCTGAGCTCTGGAGGTTGTGCCTCACACATATTTCTTCTCTAGAGAGTTGTTTTGACCTGGTTTGGGAAAGTGGGCAAGGTGTTCTTGAGAGGAGTACTGGTGACAGAATCATTCCAGGCTGTGGACCCTTCCCCGAATCTTAAATGTAGTCTATGGTGTGAATAATAATAATAACAGCTAACATTTATCGAACATTTCCAGTGCACCAGGCACTGTGCTAGGGCTTTCTGTGGAGGATATAATTTAGTCCCCACAACATCCCTATGAGGATAGGTGATGTTATTTATCCCCATGTTACAGATGAGGCAAATGAGGAAGCCAAGACTTGGTGACTTTCCCAAGGTCATGCAGCTGGTGATTGATGAAAGGGCATACAAACCCAACTCCATCTGCTTCCAGAGTCTGTCTTCTTAGCCATTCCTCCATTCTTCTATCCCAGGAGGACATGCCAGGGAGTTTGGCATCACTGCTAGGGTGTGGTGTAGAATAGCCATGGGACCATCCAGTTCTGGGGGTGGTGGGGGATGGACAAAGGTTAGTTAGAAGAATCTTGACTTCGGGGAAAGAGTGTGCAAAAGCCAACAGAGGCAAGTGTCAGATCCAGGGGCGAGGGGTTTCTTTACTCTGTTCATCCATTTCCTACTTGGCCTGAGAGGCTGTAGTGTCATCAGCTGGGTTGACCTCTCTCTGGGGCAACATTACAGGGCAAGGCACTGTGCTAAGCTCTGGAGACACAAAGAGGCATAAGCCACAGTCTTGGTCCTCAAGGACCTTCCAATGCTGCCTATGTTATACAAGGCACTATAAATGCCAGACAATACAAAAGGGAGCATTTGCCCATAATGAGTGTCCCAGAGTTCAAAAGCGGAGCCAAGAATTTAGAGGCGAATTTCCACTGACTGTGATGAGGGCCCTCAGCAGTTCTTATTTACTGTACCTTTCCAGTTTCAGGGCAGAAGATTTGACAAAGATGTTCCAGGTCCACTTGGCAGTAATTAGCTACCTTAGACACTCCCAGGCCTGGGTTTCTTTTTAGCATTTGTATTGACCCCAACTTTTGTTTTCCAAAGTCATTGGGAAGGTCTAGAATGAGGTCTTAGGTAGTAAAAGAAGTGAAGTGCTGTTGCCATTTCTGCCTTGTTTCCTTTGATTTCTCCCCTCTGCCTCCCTTCCCACCCCTGTCCTTGCTCTGCCCTTTTAACCCTGTACCTTGGGATGCTGTGTGGCTGCCACTGAAGAGCACCATGCTCTCTTTTCCAAAGTTTTTATTTCGATCCAGTTAGTTAACATACAGTGTCATATTAGTTTCAGGTGTACAGCATAGTGATTCAACAGTTGCGTACATCACCCGGTGTTCATCCTGACAAGCAAGCACCATGCCCTTTGGGGGAGAGTTCCAGGGAGACTGCTTCAGAAGTGGGTTGGTACTGTTGGGCCACTCAGGAGGGCTTTCCTGAAGGCCAACTTTGGTTCCTGGGGAGGAGGGGCCTCTGAAAGCTGGCATTTATGGCCCTGGGTGGTGCGAGTACCTCCACATCTTGCTCCTTTACCACCTTAGACCTGGAAAGTGGGTTTCCCAGAGCTGGAAGGAGACAGTGATCTGTCTCAAGGCTTTGGGCTTGAATGCTCAGCCTCTGCCTGGGCCCCAGGATGGAGAAGTATCCTAATTCACTTCCACCCAGGGTGAAAGTATGTATTGGACATCTGTCCTGTGCATCCAAAAGCTGGCCCTCTGGTTAGAGAGAAAGACTTCCATGTGTGGCACAATTTGAGACCAAGGCAAGACCATGTAATATGAGGCACTCCATTATGGTGCGGGAGAGAGCACGAACGGACAAGTGAGATCAGGGAGGCTGGAGGTATAGCCCTGGAGCTAGCCTTGGAGACTGAGTGGGCTTTGGAAAGTGCTGGAAAGTGCTGACATCTGAAGGAATCTTGCGAAGGCACTTCTAGGGGCCAGCAAGGGAACAAATCAAACTGGACGGAGTATGGTCAGAGTTTCTGTCAGACCCCCTTGATCAGTTAATAATGAGCAAGGGTGTGGAGCATCCTTTAGTGGGTCTCCAGGTACTGCAGTAGCTGCCCAGTGGTAAACACTTCAACATGTGTGAGAAGCGAAGCTAGCTGCTTGTGTGTCATGTTACATGCAGTATGTACACATGTCTGTCTGTAACCCATGCTGGCACAGGGGAGAATTAAAGCAAGCTCGTGGGGAAGCCTGCACTCATCCTTGACTCCCAGGCCTTTCTGGGGCCTCTGGGTCTTTAGCTGCCCCCTCGCCCACTCCCCACCTTCTCTGGCCACAAGGGAAACTGGTCCCAGACTGGAACCTGCCTGCCTCCAGTCCTTGAAGTTACCCAACAGTCTTGGCACAGTGAAGGCCAGAATGAGGAAGGAGAGGCTGGGTTCTGCTATTCCCACCACTTCACTGTGGAAGGGATTAAAGGTCCAAGGAGGATAATCCAGGGAGGAATGAGCAAACTGGGTTGGCAGGGGAAAGACATGGAAGAACCTAGAAGACGTGTGAACTTCTACCTGTGGGAGTGTTATAGACGTGATTGCAGGTCCCCCGATGGGGTTCGTCTCCTACCTTTATCTCCCTGTCTCTTTTCTCCTAGATAGGTCTTGAATTCCCACTGCAGATATTTCTATGGAATGGTAGTGTGGGAGTGATGGTTCTTAACTTTGGCTAGGGTGACGAAGGCATCTGTGGTGCCTTTTTGAAATCCAGATTCTGGGGCCACGCTTCAGACCTGGGGGAGCCAGGCGTGGGAATTTGGAATCTGGAGTGTTCATAAGCTCCCCAGGTACCTTTGATGTATATGCTGAATGGAGCCCCCACTGCCCTGGTATGTTGGGATCTCTGGTTCCAGGCTGCCTCCCTGGAGTTTCACCCTGCAATTCATGTCCCCTGCCCCTTCCCTCCCCTCCCCCCCCATCACCCAAGCACCTGTAGAAACTTAAGTAGTGAAGTCTTCTGTTTTATGTCACAGCTTCTCCTTAGTTTCTTTTCACCATCAGTCCCGGGGGATTCTCAGGAACATTTTCCCGATATCCTGAAGTTGTTGGCACCTCACCCTAGATTAAAGGAACACGTAGAATCAATGGCTACTGAAGGCACCAGTCATAATCTACCAAAGTTGTCACAGGTAAAACTCAACTCGCCCAGCTCGCTCGCGATGCTTCGTTTGGCTGTTGTGTGGGCAAACGTGGGAGTGAGCCCTACCTCTCCTTCGGTTCCTGAGAAGGAAGAAATGGAGCCACTAGTGGTTGTGTTCTTTGCTAGAAGGTTCTTTCTTACAGATAAAACTGGATTTCAGACATGGTCCTGGGGGTTTTTGGATTCATTACCTTCATTTTTCAGTTCTTGGTCAGATCCAGCTGAGAGAGATTTGATAGAAGTAAAAAGGAGTTGGCCTGCTTCCCCTGGAACCATTCAGTCTGGGTGGCTTTATCAGCTTAGGGGCGGAGCCTGGGAAGAGGCCTAACAACCCCTCCTTTCCTGCTTTTTTTGTTTGTTCAAGCTGCTGGTCTTTGAGCACCAGCTGAGTTCTTTGTGCAGAGACAACTCCATTTGATCCCCAAGTGGAAGTAATTTTATATTCCCTCACTGTGTCTTACACATCAGTAGACTTCCAGTACATATTTGTAGCCAGGAAGAGGGAAGCAATTGGGGAAGCGTTAAGTCCTTGGAAGGAAGGACGGGCATTTATGCCCATTTTTGAAGACAGGGGAATAGGGAACCATGGAGAGATTGGCTCCAGGCTCTGGCTTTCCCAGAACAGGGCAAGTGGGCAGAAGCTGGGGCTCAGAAGTCCAGACGTGAAGGCAGGATTTAGCACTGAAAACCGAGGCACCTTGAGGCAACAGTCTACCTTCCATTCGTGCCATGTGTTCTTCCCCTGTATGGAAGCCCTGTGATCTCCATGGCTTCTTGGGTTCTCTAATAGGCAGGAAACTTACATTTTCCCTGCTTCTCTCCCTGCTCCTGAGAAGTCATAAAATGCAGGTGTGCCTGATTTAAAGGCGGGCGTGGGGGTGGGAGTGGAGGCAGATCTTCTGAAGTCAGAGACCCTTAGTGCATTTCAGTAATGTTTGAAATAATTAGTACATGATTGAGAGCATTAATAGTGAACTGAAGAAGTGCCTGGAGTGACTTCTCATTGCAGCTCAATCAGAAATGAGGGAAAATAGCACCCTTGGCTTTCCAGGGTGAGCCAGCTGGGGAGTGAGGGATTGGGCTGCTACACCAACTTTGTTTTGTGAAGCAGTGTACTCTCGTGTGGACGATGCCTGGGGCTCATGGAAAGTTGAGGGTGCAGCCCTGCTGGGGTGCTGCAAAACCCCTGAACTCCCCAGGTTAGATACTGTGAAAAACTACATCCTTCTTCTCCTTACCTCACTGTTCTCTCCTGACCATACACTATTTTCTATCTATCTACCATTGGGGGGGTGGCTAGGGGTTGGAGGGCAAGAAAACAACATGAGCATGTGGATCCGTGGACTATGGATTTAGAGTACAGTTCAGGGTTCTCCAGGTAAATCTGCACAAACACTCTCATTGGATTTACTTCCAGATCCATTGTCAAATACCCTCTCCTAGACAAAAAGTCTTGAAAAGGCTAGAGATATTGATCGTTTTCCCAAACGACTTGTATCTTTTTCAGACTTTTCACCCAAAATCTAGTCAAAAGAGTAGCTTGTCCCTAGTGCTTTGACTAGTATAACACGGAGCTCTAGAACCTGAGGTAACTCCACAGGCCTGTGAACAAACCTGTGCCAAAGCCTTAGCAAAAGTCCTTTTGGAGCTGGGGGTGGGGCAGATGGCCTGGAACAGCAGTGAAACCTGCCAGAAGGATTGAGTGATAGGATCTACTCTCACTGCATGCCTTGGTTTCCCTCAGGTGGTAACTGGGGAAAGATTTGGCTAGGAGAGGGTGGGTGCCACACTCTACATCTGTCCCCTTCACCACAGCCCAGGGTGTCTGTCCCCTACATGCCTTTCTTTCCTTGCCTAGGGAAGTTCCTCTGTTTCACCCAAGCCTAGCATGTCTTCGTTGCAGATGCCCTGTGGCCAGAAGTAGGAGATAGTCTTATCACCACACACACACCCCAGTTAAGCTGTGTGTCCACTCAGTGATCAGGGCTATGTGGTTTTCTCTCTGTCCCCGGTGGGTAGCAGTGTCAGAGGACAATGCTGGTCCTGAGGTGATACTAATATTTGGCTCTTTCTTCGTCCAGGAAAATCCGGAGCTCCCACACTGTTCTAGTCAGGAGGAAGCAGCGGCAGGGGGAGACTGCGGCAGCCTGGCAAACCCAGTTAAAGTAGAGGGGGAGGGGCAACAAGGCGACCAGAAAGGCCAGGCAGGAGAGGAGAAGGGGGATGCTGCCTCTGCAGAAGCTATCTCTGACAAGGCTGGCAAATGCCAAGAAAAGAAAAGGAAGCATTGTCAAACTGGAACCCAAGATCCAGAGGTGCCCACTAAAGCCTCAAAGCCAGGTACTGACTCTACCCAGGGAGAAAGGGACTTGGATGAGGTGCCGGGGCTCACCAGCATATGCGGGTTACTGAGCCTCCATTGGAGGGCTCTGGGTGTGCCACCTAGCTCTGGCACTCAGCTGTGCCACCTCAGGGCACTATGAGGCCTCTGTGAGAGCATGCACAGTTCCTAGCATACTGCCAGGGCTCACTGATAATTAGGAAAAGTCAAGTCATGAGGTCAGGCCCTGTATCAAGTAATGGCATCTCATGCCCTTAATGGTATTACCTCCTTTCAGGCCCACCTGTCCTTATCCTCATCTCCATCTCAGGAATGGGGGAGCAGGGAGATATGATCAGGCCTCGCCCTCCTCCTTCCCAGCAGGGTGCCCAGAGGTAGACATCAGAAGTGGCAGCCGCAGCCTCACATCTTTCCAGGACAGGTTGGCAGTGCCAGGATTCGGTACCAGCCTTGCAGGGCTGGCTTGGTCCATGGAATGGCAGCTACTCCTGCTGCTGTTGAGTGAGATGCCTGTTGCATTGGAGTCAAGTCCCCAGGGCTCTTAGACATTCCCTGCTCGCATTTCTCTTCCTGTGGGGCTGCTAGAAACCTCCTGAAGCCTTCTTCAGGGGATCCCATTCCCAGTGGCCACTGAATCTACTCTCTGGGAGGCAGGGTGAGAACGGCAAGCTGAAAAACAAATGCGGTTCTTTTGCCTCAGAAGTGTTGTCTGTGAAAGTAAGGTTGGTCCATCTCTGACTTACTGCTTTCTCAATCACAGATCCTCCTGCTGACCAGGAGGCCAGAGCTGCTGTCAGTGTTCCACTGCCATTGTTTGTTGATGCGTCTGACCTTGAATGCGCCCTATGCATGAGGTATGTGATGGGTACTATCACTTATGCCTGAGGCATCTTCTTCTGGGGAGTCTGGGCCTTTCGGCCAGTAACCTCTTGTTCAGTTGGTTAGCACAGAAATGCACAGTTCTAACAGAATGAAAATCACTCTGTTGTTTGTCACACGGGCTAGCTTGTTTCCCTTGTTTACAGATTATATTACCTGCACTCCTGACTTGGAAATACCTAAAAAGTGGGAAGAAAATGGTCTGCTTAGAAGTCATAGACTGATGGCCACATCCTGAATGTCTTTAATTTGGCCTTCCTGAGATTTTTTTTTTTTGGTTGTTGTTAGATGTGAATGTTCGGAGATAGGACATATATTCTCCAGTTGGCCATGGTTCCCCTCTCTCCCGACTGCCTTACACCAGCCTGTATCTCATATTTGCATTACTTTCCTAGTACCTTGTAGGTATTTGAGTTCATGACCCTGGAACTAATCTCAACTACTGGATCAAGATCTCAAACCTCAAGGGCTCTTGTGAATGCCAAAGGCCTATTCTTTGGAAGCCAAGTAGAGGACTGATTTTTCATTTTGAACAATATTAGTAGTAGCCGTGTACTACTTGACCAGGCATCCCTTCTCTACCCGGTGGGGAGGCAAATTATCCATACACCTGCCATGCCCTCAGAAAAAGAAGCTGGTGGGCTTTTTTGGGGCTGTGTGAAAAAAATTACTTTCATTTGTTTCATTTCACAGCTGTGACTTTGTGGCTAAGAAGAGGAGCTCCAAAGCCAGATGGCCTGGGCTTGAACCCTGGCTCTGCCACTTACTGGCTGTTTGACCTAGAGCAAGTGATTTTCTCTGCCACTGTTTTCTTGTCAGTAAAATGGAGAAGAATAGTACCTATCCTATGAGGTTGTTATGATTAATTGAGAGAATCTATTTAAAACACTTAGAATAGTGCCCAACATATAGTAAATACTCCATAAATATTAACTTTTTCTAGGCCAGAGATTCTTTAACTTTAGGCCCACGGATGCTGAAGGAAGTTCTGTGTATGGATTCTAATAGATCTGTGAATTCCCTAAAGTTTTATGTAAAAATGTGTGTGTGTGTGTGTTTCCAGAACAAGGTCCACAGATTGCAGTAGATCTCAAAAGTGTCTTTTTTTCCAAGATAGCATTAAAAGAAGACTGAGGTATTTACATAAAAGTTGTTAAGATGGTTGGCCCAAGAGATGTCCAGAAAAATCTTGTGATCTACCACACACTGGGATCCAGCTTCCCAAGAATCCTGAGATGTTTTCTTGCCCGTTGCAAGCATGTATGCCTTCCATATCAATCACATGCATTTGTATTTGGAAGGACTTTTCTTGTCCACATAAAAATGAGTAAGGTGGCCATTACCTGGACATGTACTTTTTCTTTCTCTTAAAAAGAAATTGAGTTGTCAGATTGGCTCCTGAGCCCAGGCAGACCTGAAAATGAACAGTTCAGCAGACGGAATGCAGTAGCACCCAAAGAAAGACTTCCAGATACAATCGGGAGTTTTAGGTGGAGTGAGTGAGAGTGGGGTGGACTATATAACCAGGTCCCTTGACCCCTCACAACAAAGCAGCAGGTGGGTCATGGTGGAGCCAAGGTAAGAGGCAGAGAAGCTCTGCTTCCCAGCAGAGAAATGGGCCTCCACCATCATGCCTCTAAGCCTGCAATGTGAGCTACAGTCTTTCAGGTGTCAGATTTTGCCACACTTGGTTTAGCTTGTTCAGAAAGCCTAAGTCTTTGCTGGATGTATCCTCCTTAACACTACTCCCAACATCCAGCCAACACAAAATCAAACACACAGACTCATCCTGTTTGTGTTTTCACTGAGGGCTCAGAATCCTGGGTTGAAGTTCTTTTGTTCTGTTTCCTCTGATTTCTCCCTTTCATCTTGTTTGTCCCTGATCTCAACAGGGGGCTTCAGAGAAGGGTTAGAAATTTGCTCCAAGAAATAAACACCAAGAGGATAAGACCCCCTTCTGGTTTATTCACCCTGAGTTTAAAAGCCATTATTTCCCTTATCCTGCCCCTCTGTTCTAAGTGAGACTTCAAAACAAAAGCCTATCTTTGTCTGGGGTAACTGTTGTATAGGCTGGTAGGTTATAGGGGGACTCTAGCTGCTTTAGGGAGCAAAGGAACCCGCCAAGTCCAGAGAACATTTCTGACCTCAAGGCTCTTAAAACTGTAGACGTTTTTAATTTTTTTATTTATTTATGACAGTCACACACACAGAGAGAGAGAGACACAGGCAGAGGGAGAAGCAGGCTCCATGCACCGGGAGCCCGACGTGGGATTCGATCCTGGGTCTCCAGGATCGCGCCCTGGGCCAAAGGCAGGCACCAAACCGCTGCGCCACCCAGCGATCCCTTAAAACTGTAGACCTTGATCAGAGGATTGTAATTCCCCTTCCAACAGGGTTTGTCTGTAACGCAGAAATCAGCTGTTGAAAGAGACTATTTCATATACATGCTTCAGTTTGAACACAGTCTTGACAAAGTTCCTGTATCCACCTCTCTAGTACTCCCCCCCCCTTTTTATTGTCATTAGGATTATTGTCAGGTTCTATTATGACCCTCATGTGTCTTTTGGGGAGAGTGTGTTTAAGGGTTGAGATATTTTCAAACCATCTGCTGGGTCATGAAACTAGACATTTGTACCTCCTGTACAAGTTTCTAGAATGAAATCTAATCCTGTGGTGCTGCATTGGTAGAAGACAAGTTGGAGTATGAAATTAATCTGACTCTAGAGAGAAACTCAGGAGCAACTTGTATGTTTTTCAGGGAAAAGGGTAGGAAAAGTGAATGGGACAAGAACTGGAGCATGCATTAATGAGACACTCCAATCTCCAAGTCCCCCTGGCTGGATTGGGAGAGCTCTGTTGAGGGAAGTTGCTCCGAAATTCTAATCCTTTGGAACTCTGCCCCTCAATCTTTTGTGACTGGAAACCTTCCCTTGAGATTTACCAGCTGAATACTCTTGACACTGGGGACCACCTCTGGAGCTGTTGTGGAACACCACCTTTGGGGTGACAAGGATATTTTGAGATGTGGAACAAGAATGTTTGATATTTGAACCACTTACCTAATGGCCCAGTGACCTCCTTGTCAATTGAAATGGAACTTTGTATTTAACCTAGTTTTAGCTACTCAGATAGCTGGGTATTAAGGAGGTTCCCCCCACACACACACTGTCTCTCTCCTTCCTTCCCTCCCTCTTTCTGTCTTTTTCTTTCTCTTTCTCCACCCCCTCCTTCTTATTCCCTCTTCTCTCATTTGATAGCAGCAAAAGAACACAATACAAGGATGTAACTGGTGGGAAAAGATAGCTATTTCCAGACAAGCCAAGCATTTAATCCGGGCTGACATCTAACTGAAAGCATTTATTACTACTATTGTTTACTCCACCATTTTGACAATGTAAAATGCTTTCTTGTGAGAAAATCTGTGTCTACTCTGATTTATAAATGCCTCCCTGAAGTGTTTCCTGCAATCATTACCTAAAGTGGTAAATAAAAGGGAGAGAACTTCAAGTATATACCTATTTCTAGCTCTATCTATATATACAGAGTTCTCTCTCTGTCTTTCTGGGGTGGGGAGAAATGGAAGGGAGAGAGAGAACTGTGTTGTCTGTATGTGTGTCTACACATGGATGGATGCTGTCTGTTCTAAGAGATGTGCACACTGTTGCAGCTGTGTCATATAGTGGAGAAGGAAGATGAGCTTGGGAATCAGGTGTGACTTCATACCCTAAGCCCTGCTACTTCCTAGCTAGATGTGTGACCTTGGGCAAGTCATTTAACCTGTCTAAGTCTTCTTTTCCTCAGTAGTAAAATGGAACTAGTCATCATTATCACCTATTAACATATGAAGTTAATTTATTTGAAAAACAGTATTACACACACCCAGAATAGCAAGAGAAATATATTCCACCTGTTTCTTGTCACTTTACTCCATCAGCCTCTGTAGAGGAGCAAAGTAGCCCTGAATATAGAAGCAAATTGAGACTTGAATGGTGATATATTCTGAGCATCTGAACTTAGAATTATTTCAAAGCAATCATTATACAGCATCTGTAGCAGTCTTCTTGTCTGTGACCACTCAGATCAGGGGCATTTTAATCACAATTCTTGCTAAGAGTTGCTGTTTCCTTTTGTGTCTGTTTCATTCATCTGCTCATTAAATGTCAGCATTCATTGCAGTTGATTAGCTAGTAATATCACTGCTGTTTTATAAAAGGCCCAATTTTGAAGTTCTCAGGATAAACAATTTAGCAGGTATGGATTCCTCAATCATCATCATCATTAGTGTCATTGACTAATGTGTAACAAGTTTTCAGATTCATAAGACTCAAATTACTGAGGAAGTGAGATTTTCTGATTTGGCTGCTCCGGTTGATCACAGCAATGGTTTCCAAATCAGCCTGCAAGTCACACTTGTGAGATACATTCTAAATTGTGAAATATACACAATGAAGAAGTATGTAAAATTAAAAATGTATTCTCTTAACAAGATATTGTAAAGAGGATACTGCTGCAACCATCCTCAGTTCAAAAAATAAAACATGGCCAGGATCCCAGAAGCCTTCCTTATGCCACCTCTGAATCATGACTCCTTGCCCTTTGCCCTCCAAAACCACTGTCCTGACGTTTTTCTTTTTAAAAATAGTTTTACCCCCCATGTATGCATCTCTAAATGGTGTAATTTAGTTTTTACTAAAAACTTTATATAAATAGAACTATCCAGAACACAGTTCTTTTTGTTCTGGCTTCTTTTCCAGAGTATTAAGGTTTATTCATGTTACTGCATATTGGTGAAGTTTGTTTATATTTCATTCACGTAGGGTGGCCCATTGTATGAGTCTACCATAATTTCTTTACCAGTTCTATCATAAATGGATATTTGAGTTGTTTCTAGTTTGGAGCTATCACAGACAACGTTGCTATGAGCAGTTTTTATGTATGCTGGTGCATATAAATCTTTGCCCATCTTCAATTGGGTTATCTCTCTTTTTCTTACTGACTTATAAGGGCTTTATGTATGTTCTAGATATTAGTCCTTTGTTAGTCATGTGTACTGCAAGCACCTTCTCCCACTTGTAGCTTGCCTTTTTGCTCTCTTAATGGCATCTTTTAATGAACTTATAAGTTGTTTTAATGTAATGGAAATTATTAATCTTTTAATTTATTTTTAGTGGGGATTTTTTTGTGCACGTCTTGCCTAAGAAATCTTTTTTTTTTTTTACTTTGAGATCACCAAGATATTCTATTGTGTCTTTTATAAGCTTGACTGTTTCACATTTACCTTTCCAGCCCACATGGAAGTGATTTTTGTGAATGGTGTGAGAGACAACCCAACTTCACTTCTCCATATGGACAGCCAGCTATCCCAAATAGCATTTATTGAGAATGCTATTCATGTATTGAAAATCCCCCCTCTGCTTTGAAGTGCCACAGTTGTCATAAATCAAGAATCTGGGTCTGGGTCTATTTCTGGGCTTTCTGTTCTATTCATGGATCTATTTGTCCTTGTGCTAGCACTACACTGTTTTAATCACTAGAGCTTTATAATAAGGTCTGGTGTCTGGTAGAGCAAGTCCTCCCACACTGCTGCTCTCAGAAGTGTCTCGGCTCCTCTTGACCCTTTGCCTTGCTTTTATACAGTTTAGAAATCAACTTGTCAAGTTCCATAAAAACAAACAAGTGAAATAAGCCTCTGGGATTTTTATCAGGATTAATTATTAGGTCTTCTTTACTTCCTTTCAATGAGGTGTTTATAGTTTTTTCCAACAGAGGTCTCGTACAACTTTTGTTGGATTTATTCCTGGTGCTTGGTTTCTAAATACAACTGTAAATGTTACCTTTCTTAAAATGTGGGGATTTTTATGTTTTTTGCTGGTGTATAGAATATAATTGTGTGTGTATGTATATTTATCTAACATCCTGGCTAATACTAGCAATTCTCATGAATTCTAATAATCATTCTGTAGGTTTCTTAATTTAAATTTTTATTTATTTATTTTAGAGGATGGGGGTGCAGGGGAGGGCAGAGGGAGAAGCAGTCTTTAAGCAGTGAGTGCAGAGCCTGACATGAGGCTTAATCTTATGACCCACAGATCAGGACCTGTGCTGAACTCAAGAGTCACGCTCAACCAACTGAGCCACCCAGTACGCCTTGTAGATTCTTTTAGATTTGACCAGTTCACCATCACACCATGTGTAAATAATGACAGGTTTGTTTTTTTTTTTCATTCTAAACCTTTCCTTAGTACACTGGTTAGGACCTCCATCATAGTGTTTTTGAAAATTAATTTTACTTTTGGCCGATTTAATAACTAAAATTTATTAATTCTGTTAAATAAATGAACAAGTTTCTAAAATAGGAATATAACATTCAAAAAGTAGAAAAGGTGAATCTATCAAAAGTCTCTCTCCTGCTCCAGACCTTCATTTGCTTGTTTTGTTTAATTTTATCATTTTAACAATTTTTATTTGTACTGGTATAGACTTATTAAATATCACCTTTTCAATAACCTGTTCAGTGTCTATCCTGTCATCTTCCAGAAGTCAGATTCCTTCTTGTACTTGTCATATTGCCAGCACTTAGCTCTGTCAGCACACAGCATGTTTGCTGAATGAATAAGTAAGAATCTGTTTTGTGGATAGCTTGTTAAATCTAAACTGATTTATTTTAAGAAACTATTTCTTTCTTTCCCACAAGATGCTTTCCCTTCAAATTCCACTAGAATTTTTTTTTTTTAATCAAGAAGGAGGGGATGGGCGCCTGTGTGGCTCAGTCAGTTAAGCATCTGCCTTCTACTCAGGTCATGATCCTGGAGTTCCAGGATTGAGTCTCACATCAAGGTCCCTGTTCAGTGGGAGTCTGCTTCTCCCTCCGCCCCTCACCCCACTCGTGCTCTCTCTCACATTCTGTGTCTCTCAAATAAATAAAGAAAATATTTAAATTAAAAAAAAAAGAAAGAGGGGAATGTGCAAGCAAGTGCTAGTCTTCTATTGGCTTGTTAAAAATATCAAATCTCTGTCCCCTTGACTCACTGAATCACAAACCATATCCAGCGGGGCTTCACCATGTCTGTGGTTTTAAAGCTCTACAGGTGGCTCTGATAATTAGGTTTGGAGACCAATACAGAAGATTCACCTATGCAGAGATTAGTAGGATTGTTTAATACAGTGATTCTCAATCCTTGCTGCACATAAAAACCACCTAGGAGCCTTAAAAAAATTCCTGGTGCCTGGCCCTTACCCTGGACCAACTGATATGAGTCTCTGCAGGTGTGGTCCCTGGCATCTGTGTTTTTTTTTTAATTTTTTTTATTGTAGTTCAATTTGCCAACATATAGCATAACACCCAGTGCTCATCCCACCAAGTGCCCCCCTCAGTGCCCATCACCCAGTCACCTCAACCCCCTGCCCACTTCCCCTTCCACTACCCCTTGTTCATTTCCCAGAGTTAGGTGTCTCTCATGTTTTGTCACCCTCACTGATATTTTCACTCCTTTCCCTTTATTCCCTTTCACTAATTTTTATATTCCCCAAATGAATGAGACCATATAATGTTTGTCCTTTTCCGATTGACTTATTTCATTCAGCATAATACCCTCCAGGTCCCTCCACGTCGAAGCAAATAGTGGGTATTTGTCATTTCTAACGGCTGAGTAATATTCCATTGTGTACATAGACCACATCTTCTTTATCCATTCATCTTTCAATGGACACCGAGTCTCCTTCCACAGTTTGGCGCTTGTGGACATTACTGCTATAAATATTGGGGTGCAAGTGTCCTGGCGTTTCACTGCATCTGTATCTTTGGGGTAAATCCCCAGCAGTGCAATTGCTGGGTCATAGGGCAGATGTATTTTTGACTCTGAGGAACCTCCACACAGTTTTTCAGAGTGGCTGTACCACTTCACATTCCCACCAACAGTGCAAGGGGGTTCCCCTTTCTCCACATCCTCTCCAACATTTGTTTCCTGTCTTGTTGATTTTCCCCATTCTCACTGGTGTGAGGTGGTGGTATCTCATTGTGGTTTTGATTTGTATTTCCCTGATGGCCAGTGATGTGGAGCATTTTTTCATGTGCGTGTTCGCCATGTCTATGTCTTCCTCTGTGAAATTTCTGTTTATGTCTTTTGCCCATTTCATGATTGGATTGTTTGTTCCTTGGGTGTTGAGTTTAATAAATTCTTTATAGATCTTGGATAATAGCCCTTTATCTGATAGGTCATTTGCAAATATCTTCTCCCATTCTGTAGGTTGTCTTTTAGTTTTGTTGACTGTTTCTTTTGCTGTGCAGAAGCTTCTTATCTTGATGAAGTCCCAATAATTCATTTTTGCTTTTGTTTCTCTTGCCTTCATGGATGTATCTTGTAAGAAGTTGCTGTGGCCAAGTTCAAAAAGGGTGTTGCCTGTGTTCTCCTCTAGGATTTTGATGGAATCTTGTCTCACATTTAGATCTTTCATCCGTTTTGAGTTTATCTTTGTGTATGGTGTAAGAGAATGGTCTAGTTTCATTCTTCTGCATGTGGATGTACAATTTTCCCAGCACCATTTATTGAAGAGACTGTCTTTTTTCCAGTGGATAGTCTTTCCTGCTTTGTCGAATATTAGTTGACCATAAAGTTGAGCGTCCACTTCTGGATTCTCTATTCTGTTCCATTGATCTATGTGTCATTTTAAAAAATTCCCCGGGTGATGGTGAGGGCTGGTGGGGGGAGGAGCAGGAGGTAGGGTTTACAAAGGGACACAAGGAAATGTTTGGGGGTGACGGGTATGCTCGTGACCTCAATTATGGAGGTGGTTTCATAGGTGTGCACATATGTTGAAACTTACCAAGTTGTACACTTTAACTATGTGCGGTTTATGCACGTCAATCACACATCAATAAACCTATTTAAAGAAAAAACTCCCCAGATGATTCTCACACACAGCAATGGTTGAGAATCATTGTTTTAACAGAAAGAGTATACGACTGGAAGGTGAAAGTTGGATAGACTTTCGTCTGCCAACAGATAAGCGACTTCCTCCCCCTCTGGACCTCAGTTTCATTCTAGTTGGTGGGTTCAAATTTTTCTGGAGTACTTTTCAGGCTCTGACGTTTCGGTTCTGCTCAGCCTGGCTGTGTGGGCCAGGCTGTTGATGCACCTCCTGGCCACATGAGGGGGATGTGCAGCTGGCTGCCTCTTCCTCTCAACTGAACACTCTTGTGAGGTCAAAATAGGCTGGTCAGGCATCTGTCTTTCCCTTCTGCCTGTCCTTTGGTGAGAGCGAGCCCCACTTCTGAACCACCATCTTCAGCTGCCCTCATCCAGTGGTCCTGCTGCAGGTGAGCCTTTCTTTTTAAGCAAAGTAAATCTGTGAATCTCTGAATGTATAGAACAGCTTTTAAAAAGATTCCCCAGATTGCTTTGAAAATATCCAGCTCCTGCAAAGCAATGAAAGTAGGATCTAATTGAAGTATATGGATGCTTACCTACATTTGTGTGTGTGTGTATATATATACATACATACACACGTGTATGTGTGTATCAGTAAGCACATTGACAGTATTACTCTACTGCCTCTAAGAAAATGATCCATTCATATAAAGGGCAGTTATGTGTGTGTTACAGGTACAATATTGAGATCCTTCAGGCAGTAAACATTGCTTAGGTGAAAAATGGAATCAAGGTTAGCAAAGAAGCTAAGTCTTTTTCCATTGTATATGTGATATAAAGTACATAACTGAGTAAATGTGTGAGACAGAGTGTGTGTGTGTTTGTCTCTGTGTTTACATATCCTTAGGAGAACAGACTGGCTAAATATTTTAGAACCTAATCTATTCAGACACTCTGGGCATTAATCTCTATTTTTCTGGGACTGGCAGGGAAAAACAATCTGGATGCCAGTCAGAAGAGCCTGACTATAACTGATGTTACAAAATGATCCAGTTATGTCATAAATATTGGTAAATGCATTATTTTAAAATCCAGGTCAGAAATAAAAAAGCAAAAGCTTTTCTGAAGTGCAACAATAGCAGGAAGTTATTTTAAAAAGAAAAGACCCCTCTCCTTACACATACGGAATTTTCTAAATAATACTATAAAACCTTAACACTAAGTATCTCTGTCTTTTGTCTTTTTTTCTGTCTTTTGTCTTATTCATATTTCTTCCATTTTGATTCCTAAATTTCAGATTATTCTATGAGCCAGTCACAACACCTTGTGGGCATACATTTTGCTTAAAATGCCTTGAAAGATGCCTAGATCACAATGCAAAGTGTCCGCTATGCAAAGATGGTCTTTCACAGGTAAGACATTCTTTCTTTCTTGATTAGGTTAGCTTATTTGGAATTGGATACTAAAATGGTGGCCTGTTGGATCCCAAGCCAGTACACTGTTCTAGGACAGACTACTCCCTCAGACTATCTATTTTTCCTGTTTTAGAGCTACCTCTCCCCTCTTCACCCAGTCCTTCAGGAAAATGAGGCAACATCTAGCTTTTTATGAACTGTCAATAGTGAAATCGATTTGTGGTGGAAACCAAAGTATTCAATTGATGACAAATAGGTATCCTGATGCTAAGTCTGTCATGGTACCTGCTTCACTGCAACCTTAGGTGAATCCTCTGTCCTCTTTGGGCTTGGACTAGATGAGCTCTGAAGTCTCATCATCATCATCATCATCATCATCATCATCATCATCAGTGTTTATTCTGTGGTTTGAAGGGATCACTCTCAGGTCCCCAGAAAAACCTCACAGATCTTCAGTGTGGTCCTTCTCCCCCTCCCCCCGCCAGGAGCCGCTGTACTTATTAGCAGATACTTGGCTACTTGGAAAGCTCTGTGGCTTCCAGGTCATCTAAAAGGAACCACACAGGCTGCCACTGTTGTTTTTCAGATGGCCTTGATGGAATTCCCAATAAAACAGGAATCCCTGGAAGCTCATCTTGTTTGCCCTCCCTTGGGGACTTATGCAGGACACATTACAGTCAATCTTAGTGTTCCTTGACCTCTCTTGTCCCCGAGAAGAGGTCAGACATGCAAGGCTATCTCTAGGTGAATATAGGTCCAGAGAAGTCCCATGTTGAGCTTTCCCAACACCCAAGCATTTGAACTAAGGAAATAGAATGAAATAGTCATCCAGGATAACCCTGGAGGTATATGTGGACTTGGAGGGGAGGCTCACCATCACACCTTGCCTGGATCAGGGGGATGGGATCTGCTGGCCTGATTGTAGGTGAGGAGTCCATGGTCCTTAAAAAACACATTGTGTTGTGGTAACACTACAACACTCAAATAAGCAGAAAGAAGACAAATCTACCCAAATGTTCAGCACCTGGAGAAAACCACTGTTAACATTTTAGTATGTGGCTTTCCTGGGTTTTTGTTTTAGCATCAGCGGAGGAGTCACCTCTTTCTTGGATTAGCTACCTCCTGAGTCATTGCTTTTCCCCCAAAGATTGGGGCTGAGCAAAGCAGTTCATCTTCTGCAGTCAGGTGATGGCAGTGACTGAGAAGGCGTCCTAGAAGCAGATGCTGTGGGGTCCCAGACTCAGGGACTAGAAGATCTTATTGTCTGCCTCTGTGTATTGACACAGGGGCGCACTTACACTATTTCCAAGAGAGAGAAATATTTTATTCCAATCCTGTTCACTGCGGAATAGATACATATGGGCCCATACTGGGAAAGGAAAAAGGGTCTCAAACCAGCAATTTTATACTCGGGAGCTCCCCCTGCTGGATCTGTGTGGGTAGTGTCCATAGCAAGCAATTGGCAAATGTTTTTTAACTCCCATTGTCTGGTTCATACAGTTGAATTCCCACTGCTTACAAATCCCTGGATACACATGAAGCAGGGGTGTCCAGAAGTATAGTAACAGTGACAAATATACCTGAGTTTGGTTCTGAATTCATGGTTTATAACATAATCTCAGTGATACCTAGATGATACATTTTTAAAACAAATAAACAAAATCACCAGTATTTAGCTGAAGTGCAAGGGGGGGGGAAATATTTAGATTGGCAATATCCAGAAGCCGAGCATTGGGGTGGGGTGCAGTGGGGGTGGGATAGGTCAGGAAAAGATCAGTGCTTGAAAATGGCTTTTTTGTTCCCTAAACCTTCTGACCACAGACTTTAAGTATATCCCAGATGGAGACCATTTTTTTTGTGAGCTTGTAAATGCAGTAAGCAGAAAAAGGAAAGGGAAGGGTTTCCTCCCCTTTTTGACAAGAACATAATCTCAATTTGGTGTTTAGGAAAGCTGTGAGATTTTTTAAAACTTCAATGCAGGTCTTTTTCCCTTATTAAAATATTGTCTAATTATAAAAGTAATTAGTTGCATGTAACATCCAGAGAATATACACATTATGATGTTATTAGCTGCTAATGTGTGGGTCCAAGTTACTCCAATATGTGGGTCACTGAGCTATTCTACTCATTATATCAGAAGTGCTTTGTGGTTTTCCAATGACTGCATAACATCTCATTGCCCTGTTCCCCCTATAGTGCTTGGCATCCAGAAAATATAGCAAAAATGTCATAATGGAAGAGCTAATAGCTAAATTCCTTCCAGAAGAACTCAAGGAACGAAGGCGGCTTTATGAAGAAGAGATGGAAGAACTTTCTAAGTATGTATATGCATGTTTCTCTTTTTTCAGTTTCACTCATAGCAGGTCACAGAATTGCATGTGCACATTTCGTACTAACTTCTCACTTGGCAATATCATGTTGGTAGCTTGACATTGGCCTTGGTGAGAGTATCTACACTACAGAAATTGGCAAATGCTATAAGCCAGAGCTTTACCCCCCACCATAAGCCAGTTGTTCAGTGCTTACCAGCACACCACTGAAGAAGCGTAAGTCAAACCACAGACCAGGTCACATCTTGGCTCTTGTAACTGGGTGTTGCTGGTAGCAGTAAATTGGAGTAGCTAAATCAGGGGAACTTATGGAGCATACAGAAGACTGCAAATACATTAGAAGGTGCTATGAGGTTAAGCACTTTGGTGCCAGGCATACCTGGGCTTTTGACCCAGTTTTGCCACAAAGTGAGTATACTTCAGGGCCTTAGGCAAGTCAGTTGCCTCTCTGGGCCTCAATTTCCTCATCTGTAGCTTGGGAATAATCAGTTCTTACCTCACGGACTTCTTATGAAGATCAAATGAGCTGGTGCACGTAAATACTTAATCAATGGTAGTAGTGAGACTGCTGTTTGCCTCCTCTGCCAGGCACATGAGAGGTGAAGGGTAAGGATGGGAGATGGAAGTAGGGCTCCAGGCTTTCTGCTTGTCTCGAAGAATAGCTCACTGAGGAAAAGCAGGAGGCAGTCTCTCACTTCTGCCTCTCCTACTGCTGCCCTTCCACCTCCCAATCCCTAGTGGAATCCTCATAGCATTCTGGGGGCAAGGTTCTCGATGGCAAAAACTGCTCTGGTTTTCTGCCCACCCTGTAGAGAACGTTTCTAAACTGCCCCTGGTTTATTTGAGTAGGCCTCTTACTTCAAATGATATTTGCTTGGGAAGCTAAAAATTAAATCCCTTTTTTTCCCATTGACTTATATAGTAGATCTACTCAGGGCATCTTTATTTTTGATTCTTAAATTTGCCTCGCATCTCTCTGAGCCCTTTGCTCCAATATTATTTAATGCCTTATTAATAAACACTGGGAGATACCAGAGGAATATCTATTTGAAGAAATCCTAAACTTAATCCTTTGGGGATTTGGGCAGATGGTCTTATATCTATTGATAGTTTCCAGTATTGGACTTACCAGACAACAAAGAAAACAGTGATACAGGAGGAGCTTGCCCAGTTGGTGGTTTCCCATCAGACTGGGTGTCTGCATCTTCATGGGCACTTGCTGAAGGGCAGATTCCTGGGTCCTAACTCCAGAGGTAATATACCAGTATCTCTGGGGGTCCTGTAACCTGGTTCTCTGGATTTAAGGGCCCCTGGTGACTGATGCACGGGAGTGTTTGAGCATCACTGGGCTAGATTACACTTGCCCCTCTGTTGCTCCCGTCTCCTTCTAGCTGAGCCTGCCAAGCAGATCTCCTGGGGGCTTTGCAAATTTGAAATGCTTATGGAGACCTTGCAGAGATTTTTCCACCATCCTCTTGGAGAGCTAGGTCCACTTTTACCACCAGCAGGACACCTGAAGAGATTGTTTTGAGTAGAGAGCAGGAAAGAAAGAAAAAAAAATATGAGGTATAACTATCACCTACAACATGAAGGTACTATAGGATGTCTTTAGCCAAATTAGAACGTACAGGCTATCAGTTTCAGTCTCTCAGTACTCAGGCTAACCTCTGCATCAGGCAGTGGAACTCAGCCTGTAGTGTCGGTTGCATCACAGTATTTTTTTTTATCAGCCATCAAAACTTGAGGTCTTCTTGCCTTCCTGTGGGGGAACCACAAGGTGACGTTTGACCAACCTTTCTGTGTTCTGCTCCATTGCTTTGAGAAATCCACGTCATTTGCTCTTCCTGACAGCTTAAATAAGAACGTGCCTATTTTCGTGTGTACTATGGCCTATCCCACCGTTCCTTGTCCCCTGCACATCTTTGAGCCTTGTTACCGTCTGATGATTCGTAGATGCATTGAGACAGGCACAAGGCAGTTTGGCATGTGCCTTGGAGATCCTGTCAAAGGGTAAGTGAGGACCTATGTGAGTAAAGGGAGGTTGGGTGCAGAGGGATTTGGGTTTACTTTGGGATGCTCCCAGGAGATGGGGAGGCACAGCTCCTGAGATTTAGCCAGTTCGTGACCATGTGTGTTTGTAGAGACCAGAGTCTCTCTGGCCTCTATTTTACCATGTAATACGCTGCCTACCTGGATTAATCTTTTGTTAAATGAGGGGTATATACTATAAAATTTGTTTTACTGTAACACTGTGGGCACTGGAGTCTTACTGCCTGGGTTTATATTCTGGCTTCAGCCTTTGAGCAAGTTTGACTTTGGGCAAATTACTTAACCTTTCTGTGACTCAATTTCCTTATCTGTAAAGTGGGTACAATAATAGCGCCTACCTCATTGGGTTTGTCGGGAAGATTGGTGAGTTAATACACATAGAGCACGGAGCACAGTACCTAACACATAGTATATGCTCAATAAATGGGAGCAGTTATATTATTACATAAAGATTTTTCTTTGCACAGGCATTGCCTGTTGTGTAGTTGCAGCTGTGGACCACAGGACAGGCAAATAGGCAGAAGTCCCTCGAGGCACAGCCTAGGATTACAGAAATGGCTGGGGGCCAGGCCACAGAAATAAATGAAGAATTTAACTTTTTTACACATGCCTATTAAGCAGGTTTGCGGAGTATGGGTGTATCCTGGAGATCAGAAATGTTCAGTTCTTTGCTGATGGCCGCTCTGTGGTGGACAGTATAGGCAAGAGGCGCTTCAGGGTCCTCCACCAGGGCCAGCGAGATGGTTACAATACAGCCGACATTGAATACATTGAAGACCAAAAGGTAAGGGTGGCCAGTGCCAAGAATCCCAAAGCCAGGCTACCCTATAGCTTGGCACACAAAGATGTTTGCAAAAGAATTTCTCAGCACTGTTGAGGGCCTTGGCATTTCTCACCAAATTGTTACAGCAACATTGAATGCTGCTGGATTGCTGTTCAATTGTAGAATGGCTTTCCCTGCTTCATTGCTGAGTTGTATTCATGCATAAGAAATGCCAAGCCAGACCAACAACGCTGGGGCCCATTCAGCCTAGGAGTTAGGTCTTTGCCAGAGATACCAAGGGATAGATCTGGAGCGATGTCTATACATGTGCACTTTATTTATTGAGTTATTTATATTTTCAAACTTTTTCTTTGGAGATAATTGTGGATTCACACATACATGTGTATTTTTAAAAAATATTATATTTATTTATTTGACAGAGCACAAGCAGGGGAAATGGCAGGCAGAGGGAGAGGGAGAAATAGGCTCCCCACTGAGCACGAAGCCCAATGCGGGGCTCAATACCAGGACCCTGGGATCATGACCTGAGCCGAAGGCAGACTCTTAACCAACTGAGCCACCCAGGCACCTCCATACATTTGTACTTTTAAATGTGCAACCTGGTTAAGAGTTCTTCCCTATAACCCATCATCCTGTAAAGCAGAAAGACACCATGTTCAGTTAATTCTTGGTGTTCTGGACTAATGAATAGAAGAGGTAAACAACCCATGTTCATTTATATTTACATTCACTACACAGTACAAGATTAGTAAATGTTTGATCAACGAATGAATACATTTGACTTGCAAAAATAGTTACACAGTGAGACACAGATACACTCATGTCTCTCTTCCCGCTGGACAATGGAAAAGCAGATATAAAACATGAAAAGGAGAGAGGCATAAAGCAGCATAAGCTAGTTTAACAGCATGCCTCCACCCAAGCCAGTTGGCATCTCTGGTTTTGTCTATCTTGCTGTTTCAGCTAATTTACCCAAAGGAACCTTTCTCCATTCTCTACCCTTGGCAGATGGGCAGTTACACACAGCCCATTCTCTGGCTGAGGAACCTTTCACACACCACACAGGAGAAGGCTGGGAGGGTGAGCCTTCCTAGAAAGGCAGACTGGATTGCCCAAGGGGAGTCAGTGTCAGCAGCGGCTTTGGGAGCAGTGGAGAAGGTATAGAGCGCTTCATTTCCACTTTGATACTTTCAGGTTCAAGGAGAAGATTGTGCAGAGCTCATGGGATTACATAATTGTGTCTATGAGCAAGCATCATCGTGGTTTCATTCGCTCAAATCATCTCTGAAGAATCGGATACTCAGTCACTTTGGTCCAATGCCAGAGAAAGATGCTGATCCCCAGGTATATAAAAATGTCTCTTTGTAATGGAATGCCCCCACCAGATGAGAGAGCCTAGGGTTTGGGATTAGAAGGGTGCATGGTTGCCATTCGGCAGAGCAAGCGCAGAGAGGAAGATGAGTCCAATTTGATATTGTTTGGCTGAGCAGTGGGCTTCATGGGTAAGACCCAAAGGATCCCAAATCAGAATTGAAGTAATAAAGTAAAGTGGTAGGAACTTAGATCCGAAGACAGGTTTTAAGAAAGAAGCCAAGTGAGAGATTGGGAACACAGACACCAACAACAGAAGAACCTTCTGTGGGAGTCCAGTTTCACACCACGGTAATGTGTGGGAGTGACAAGATTCATGCAAAGGCCAGACTTAAGAGAAGGGTATCCTGGGAGCTAAGACCGAAAGCTTCCACTTCTGGGGAGCTTCATAACCCTCTCCCCCATTGATGCAGGAGCTTGGATATGGGACCAGCTACCTTACAGGATTCCAACTGCAAGACCACAGAATCTTTTCACACCTGGGTCTCTCCCTACTTAGCCCTGTAGGTCTAGACCCTTGTCATTGTCCTCATCAGGGGTGAGCCGCTCGTGAGCAAATAGACACAATCTTTAAATTTACCCTTGGCTGAATTATACTAGAAAGCAGTTCATTAGGTTCTACTGGATCAGTCTGTTTCCTGGGAGGACAGATCCATTTGAGATATCAAGTTGTAGATCAGAAGCTTTTCAGGGAAGTAGAGATAGTTAAGTTTCACAAAACTTTGCTTGCTTGGTATAAATCAGACAATATTCTCTCTAGAACAAGGCTGGAGATAACCTAGTCAAATATTTGCCCATGATCACCTTTCCTACATTCTGAGCTGACTCCTCTACATCATCACTCCCTGATTTCCTTGATTCTTTACTTAACACTCATTTCCAACTCTTTTACAATAGTAACATAGAATATGTATGTTCTGATTTCCTTGCCGAGAGACTGATCCTTACCATTCTAGCTGTGTGAACTTGGGTAAGTCCCTTCCCTTTTCTCAACCTTTCTCCCAGCTCTGAAATGAGGGAGGTAGATGAAGAAATCTCTAAAGTCCCCTCTTCCTCTTGCATCTGGGGCTATAAGACACCAATCTGTTCCCTAATGAGCTGAAACATCTCACTCTCTCCAGACCACAAAGGTGGCTCTTTTCCCCCATGCAAAGGCATCATGAATGTTGAAGGGAGAAAGGCCAGTCAGTACTTCCCAGTGACCTAGCTCCTGGCTCTGGGCCACTGTGACTCAGGACTACATCAGAGCTCTGAGCAAGCTCACGATCAAGTGTAATGTTCCCCTTCACCTTCTGGAGAGCATTCTCCCTCAGTCAGGCAGAAGGTAGCAATCAGCAATGATACAGCATCTTCCACAAGAGAAAACACAGATGCCATGGAGTGATTCATAAGGGCTCAATGACATAGAAAGCTGAAATCTTGGGTTCATTTCCTTTCTTATTAGAACTGTTATCATGTTGCTTTGGCAGCAGCAGCAGCAAAAAAAAAAATAATAATAATAATCCAGTTTGATCCAGTCAGTGCTGCAGCCCCAGTGGTCCCATTAATAAAAATGTTCTGAGCCTCAGGAGATTTCTCAGAAAGAGCCACAAGTATTAACATAAGCTTAAATATCTTTGTTAATAGCCCTGGGAAAGAAAGTTTATAATATGTCAATTTCACATTCAGAACTAATAATAGGAGGGAGAGCCTGTTACAGATCACAGTGAGGGACAAAAAAGAATTCAAATGAAGCTACAGGCACAGAGAAGCCAAGAAAGCAGCAAGGTTTGGGGGAGAATTAGGTGAACCAATTTGGAGGCAAATAGTCCCACATGTAGGTGGTCTGACCAAAATGAGATTCTCTATAGTCTAAACTTCTGAGAGTTGTGAGCTGAGAGCCCATTTCAGACTTTGTAGAAAATAAGTCGGTAGTGACTATATCATGTGCTGGTGAAGCTGCTGACAAGCAGAATTGGTGAAGAATTCATGTGGAATGGGAAAGCTCTTTATTAAAAAGAAACCTAGGAACAGAATACATTTTTAATGTGAAGGTGTTTTCAAATTGTTTGTTTTTGCAAAGTGGGATTGTTGTACTTTTGGGCTATGGATCATAAGCTTTGGTTTCAGAGGAGGAGAAGCTAACTGTGGCCTTCTAGAGTGACACGGTGTGTGTACTATATTGCCTTCGGCCAGAAGCAAGAAAATAAAAGGAGTTAAGAGACATGCCAAGCACAAGGGATCATGGGAATTGAAGGCTCACATGTGGTGTGTGTCAGTCCAAAGAATCTATTTTTTTAATAAATTAATTTTTATTGGTGTTCAATTTACCAACATACAGAATAACACCCAGTGCTCATCCCGTCAAGTGTCCCCCTCAGTGCCCGTCACCCATTCACCCCCACCCCCCGCCCTCCTCCCCCTCCACCACCCCTAGTTCATTTCCCAGAGTTAGAAGTCTTTATGTTCTGTCTCCCTTTCTGATATTTCCCACACATTTCTTCTCCCTTCCCTTCTATTCCCTTTCACTATTATTCATATTCCCCAAATGAATGAGAACATACACTGTTTGTCCTTCTCCGATTGACTTACTTCAGTCCAAAGAATCTAAATGGAATCTTCAAAGTAGAACAAATGGAGTAGTGAACATTCTAGCTCACAGAATCACACTGGCTAGGAGGTATAGGGTATCTGTTAGGATATTGATTTGTTTACTTTGACAACTACTAAAAATAACTAGAGGTAGCTTGAGCCAGATAGAGGGCTAGAGCAGCTCTATTCGATGAGATCATTCAGAAATCCAGTCTCGTTCATCACAAAGCTCTACCATCCTTAGAATGTTGCCCTATCTTCCTGATAGAAGAAGGCTGATCATCACCATGTTCATGCTCTAGCTGAGGGGAAGAGAGAAAGAGTAAGGCAGAGGGCACATGCCCTGTTCCCAGAGCATGACCCAGAAGTTGCATAGAACTTCCCTTTACATCTCATTAGCCAGAACTTTGTCTCATCGCCTCCCCTAACTGCAATGCAGCCTTTGTTTTCTGCGTGGCTACATGACCAGCTCAGGCAAGGAGGAAGTAGACCTGGGGGGTAAATAGCAGTGTTTACCTTACACAGAAGCAGTTCCACCTGGGATATTTACCTTGTGGCTTGGGAAACCTGCAGACTGATCTCATTTCTGTGGGAATAGGATGAACCCATCGTGTTTTTCTGTTGTAGATTAACCCGAATGGTCCAGCCTGGTGCTGGTGGACCTTAGCAGTTCTTCCATTGGAAAGCCGAGCTCAGCTCCCATTTCTAGCAATGAGGTCCTTAAAGGATAGACTGAACGGTATTCGGCGAGTCCTGGCCTTTATATCCCGAAACCAAAACTAGTGAGAGTGGATTGCTGGAGAGGAGCTCCCATCCTCCCCACCACCCATGGGGGGAGTCATCTTGTAAATATATCTAATTGCAATAACATCTTAACAGAAGGAAGTATCAAATAGGCATTTCCCTGCTGTTGATCACAGAGAGAAATTGTGTCTAAAGACCAAAAGCATGGGACCTGTTTGAAACTTTCTGTCTTAAGATGCTTCTTGACATGCTGCACAACTACATGCTCAGCAGAGGTGTTTAAAAGCCCAGAAAAAAAAATTAATTTTATTTCAACATAAACTTCTCTGAAAGTTTAAAGTGGTTTTGCTTTTAATTTTCTTTCTTGCATAGTTAAGTGTGTGATTGAAATGTGAAGCACAGATACTAATAATGTTGCTGTGTTATTTCACTGACTTGAGTTCTCATTCCAAATGGTTCAGGTTTTATACAGAATTGTGTAAAATAATATTCATCCTTCTTTCGGTTTTAATAATTTATTTTTTGCACTACTGTATCCTTTTTTCTACAAGTATGTAACTATTTAAGTGTTCATTACTGAAAAGCCAGTTGCTTTATTTATTAACGTGGTTTACCATTTACCAAGGGGGAAGTAACAGTACTAGAAATGTGCCATTTTTGCTTTTATCACATTTTACTATGTTTGATCCCAGTTCTCAAGCCATTTTTCTATCTACCCCATTGGATGCTTAAAGGAAGTTCAGAGTGACATTGAGATCACCAATCTTCACAGGTTCCATTTGACTTTCAGTTTGAATTCAACAATATAAAATACATAAGTGATTTGGTATACATTATAGAATAAGCCATGGTAAAGTAAAATAATCCATGTTCTATATGTTAAACAGAGCAGGGCTGAAGGATTGCTTTTCCTTGAATGAAGAGTTGAATCAGAGGAGCATCTTTTAGTATGATCTATTATAGGCATTTATCTCAACAGTCTAATTCTAAAGGTAAATCATTTCCCCTCAGTGCAGTTAGGAGTGGGATTTTGAGGCAGGATGATATTTAACCCTTCAGAGGGAATGGTTTTCACTTTGTCACACCATAGCCTCCATATCCCACCTCTTTTCAGGGCTCTGAGATTCACAACCTGGCTAACATGTGTAGAAACACATGAAAAAGGGCTGTTTGTTATTAAAAGTATAAAGAAGCCAGTAGAAAAAAATAGAACTCTTTAAAAAAAGACAAACTGTTGTTTTGGTTTATAAATCTCTTTAAAGGAAACAGTGAATCCATGGTTTTTATCTAAGCACTGCCTTCCCTCCTAGCTGCTGTGGGCCAAAGATTTCAATATAGGGGAAGAATAGTGGGTAAGAAGGTAAGAAGGAGCTCCTGTTTAGCCTGCTTTGTACTGGTGTGATTCCTTTAGTGCCAGGAGAATCTGAAAAATGCCATGAGAATGAGGTATACAGTGATGGAGTAAAGAGATTAGGGCAGGCAAGAAGTGAATCCTACCATTCGCACCGTCTTGCAAATTATCCCCTTACATGATGCTAAACGGATGCAGTGCAGCCCATCCACCTCATTGAGAAAAGGTGAGTGCCTCATGTAACCAATCTGACTTCTTCCGTCATCACCTCTGGCCAGAAACAGAGAAGGGAGAGTGAGGTGATCCAGGCATCAGAAAAAAGATTCACATAAGCAGAAACCAAATGATCTTTTCTGTACTTCCTAAGTGGATGCTATGTGTCAGAGCATTATGTTACCAGGCTTGATGTTTGCAGCCAGACTTAGCTAGTGAAGAATGGAAGTATAGGCATGGTTGCCTAAGCAAACTCTACAAGGCTCAGGGAGTGGGAAATTAAAGGCTCCCCCTCCCACTCGGTGCCCAACCACTAGTTGTAGCACAATCCTAGTAAAATATTCTCCTGTTATCAAGTGTAAATGCAGCAAAGAAAATGTCATAAGCATCTCCCCTTGGTAGATGTTTTTGTTTTGTGATTTAACTTGTTTTTGAGCCACAGGTTCCTCATATAGCAAATGGTAGTAATTATCACATATAGGGTTGTTATGAACGTTATATAAGGTAGTATATGTAAATCACTTAGCAGAGTGCCTAGCACCTATGGGACATTAAAAACATAATAGCCATGATTAGGTTATTCATGGTCATAGAATATCATCAGGGGCCCACATTTGCATAAAACACTGGCTTTATACACAGTGCCCATATCTACCCCTTTAAATGTGGTTGGAGGGATCCACACCACTGATTCTGAGACCATAACTTGATGCTTTACAGTTAATTCCTTTTAGAGCCAGGTCTGCTTGGGAAAATGAAAAGACTAGAAAACAAATGAAGTTAGAGACAAAGGAGACTTCTAGGCCAGTACATTTTCCCTATTTCAGTAGGACTAAAAAGTAGTGCTCTTTGGAGGTCTAGAATTTCTGATGTAGTGGAAACCTGAAGTTCTAGCTCCATTAGAATAACCAATTCATTGCTTCTTTTTTTAAGATTTTATTTATTTATTCATGAGACACACACACACACACAGAGAGAGAGAGAGAGGGAGAAGCAGGCTCCATGCAGGGAGCCCAACGTGGGACTCTATCCCGGGTCTCCAGGATCACGCCCTGGGCTGAGGCAGCGCTAAACCACTGAGCCACCCGGGCTGCCCATTTTGCTGCCAAGTTCTGGTATAAAGAGTGTACAGAGAAAAAACATAAGCCTAAGTCTAGGCCAGAAGTACAAGACTTCCCCTTTGGTAGAGAGTGCCATTTATTTGGTTAGTTTTCTTATCATAACCTAGATTATTTTCTCTGTGTCTGTGTGTGTATGTATATGTGTGTGTGTATACATACGTATATATATGGTACCAAGCAGATATTATGCCTTTCTGCTTTGTACTGTACCACTGCTGCTAGCTAATAACCAGCAAAATGTAGAAAATGAACAATGATAAACTAATTCTCTGTAGACATCCTGGAGAAAAGAGTGCCTGCCCCTGACTTAATGGGGCAGAGAACTGACTATTTTGAGAATTTGCCTTTTCCGAAGGCTGACTGCTTCTAGCCCCGTGGCATTTCCAGCTCTGCCTGTGGGGCTGGCCTGGCTCAGATAATCCCCTGTGACTGGCCATTGGAGCAGTGGGGCTCCTGAGGCTGGTTCACAGCACCCAGAGGTCTCTTACTGTCAACAGATTGCATGCTGTTGATAGACCAAAATCCATCGGGGATTGTGTCCCCCTCTGCTAACTCCTTTTCCAAATTGGGAGCTTCATTTAAGGACTCATTCCTTGAGTTCCCAACGTAATTGACTTTGCATCCATTTCTGTTTACCAAGGCAAAATCATATCAGAAGTGTATAATATAGATGCAAATGGAAGGCAGCCCAAATAATGGAAAAGGACAGATTTTTCAGCCCATCTGGGGCTTGAGAAATGAGGTTTTGATTTATGATTGAAAGCAGTTCTGAAAAGCAGCCAGCTGCATGGGTTTCAGTTTGTGGCCCTTCCTGAGTGCAGAGAGAAAAAAGGAAAAGGAGTCACATAAAGTGTACACATTCAGTTCCTCTTAGAACGATAGCTCCCACTGTTCAACTGTTTAAGATTCTGGATAGTGCACATCCAGAGGTGAAATAAAGACATTTTCACTTATAAATGCGCTAAGTTAACCTTGAGAGAGAAGTGCCTGTAATCTCTGTTTTTGGTGTCACTTGAAAGCTTTTGCTTCATGACTCTATAGCCGTTTAAAAATTTGTTGCAGCAAATGTGATTAACAGAAGTTTACAAAGCACCACTGTAGCTTATGCATCATGTTCAAAATTGCCTAACATTTATCTATTGTCAAAGCAACAATAAACAACAAAATAAAAGGAGAGCAAATAGGTCAATGTGGCATCATAGGCTTATCTTAGATAAACTAGTTCCATCATTTCATGTAGCCCTCAGTCATGCCAGGATTAAAATATCAAGCAAACCACTCAAACAGTCACAAATATGTCTGTGTGTTTGTTAGTCTAGTTGTTTGTTCAGCAGCCATTTTATTTTCGCACTGTAATAAACTGAAAGGGGAATTAAGATAATGCTTCCCCCCCATTGCTATTCAACTACCTCTATATGCTTGGTTTCTCTTTAGGGATTTCTTTCCTCCGGATCTGTACAAAAATGCAGTTTCAGCTTATCTATGTTGTAACAACAATGTGATTGATACAGACAGTTGCTGTGAAAGCTGTTCATTCATTAGAAATGTTTACTGTTGTTTCACTTTGTATCTAACGAAACTGTGCCCGTAACCTTAGGTCAAGAATTACCCAAAATAAGTTATCATTTTGTTGGAAGCAGAATAGAAAGGAAAGCTATCGGACCATCTATTTTGTTCTTGTTCCTGTTTGCTTATAATACATTTGACCAGATCTTTCAAGAAAGTAGACTTGCCCTCAGAGAGTAAGCTCTCATGTATTTGAGAGTGAAGCTGCCATGAGTTAGTTAATGTGACTGATGTGTTAGAAAATCTGGCCATAAACTGTTTTTTAAAAATGCACCAGAAAATCTTGTTAAAGACTTATGTTGTAAACATTTTTGCCAACAATCCACCCCAGGTTTGTTTGTAAATCTGTTCGTATGTTGAGTTTGCTTAAAGCAGAATACACTACCTACTCTGTTTTCTCTGCCATTATAAAATGTTTGTGAAAAACAAGTTACGTGTTTTTATTTCCATTAAACCAAGTCTCCACAATAGGCTAAAGCTAAGGCCCAAAGCGCAAACCTTTTGACAAGAAAACTGGTCAAATTGCCTGGGATAGTGAGCGATATTGACCGAGCTGAGTCCAGCAAGAGAGATTCAGCACCTCTCCTTTTCGGTACCAGTTTTAGTCTCCTGCCATCAGTGACTTTACACAAGTTCTGTTTTGCCCCTGGGAAACAAAGTACAAGTGGAGCCGGGACAATTAGAATGATAGCAAATCCCACTTGGCTTGACCTTTGTGTGACAAGGTCTTTTGGGTAATTGAGAAAAAGGAGAACTCCTGACCACGTAGATCCCAGTAGATCCTGGAGGAAACACTTGGTTCTTTTGGAGTTGTGTGCCCAGTCTGCCACTCTCTGGCGGTCAGGAGATAGAGCGCACCCTGGCCAAAGGCACGGTCTTCCCTCCCAGGCAGTCCTGCCCAGAATGCCTGCATAACCCTCTCTGGAGAACTGCATTGGGTCATCTAAAAAGAAGGTCTCATTTGCAGTTGTCTTCCTGGCCTTGAGCAAAGCCAAAACCAACACTTTCTGCTGCTTTTCTGGGATCCACCCTGGCACAGCTCCTATGAGTTCTCTGGGGCCAAAGATGCCACCCTGGAAGGAGCGCCCAGTCTCAAAATGAGATCAGAGCAAGAAAAGGAAAGAACAAATGCCCTAGACCCACAGGCTACCAGATACTTCAACTTTTCCTTCCTCTCTCTGATGATTTCATCACTCCCAGAAGGGGCTGAGGTGGGATGGGGAAGGACCGGTGTCAGTACTCCCCATGTTGGCTTCTTCCAAGTAATGCAGGAATTTCCCAACTGTATTTGTCCACGTTCAGCCCAATGTAAAGGCATGCCCTGGTCAAGGAAGGAGGGTACAGGCCCCAAGGAGCCCTGTCTCTGGATCTCTGAGCCCCCTTTTCCCCCTACTTTCTGGTTTTCTGTGATTGACTTTCCCATTCCAACCTATACTTGGATTAACCAGCCATCCATGTTTACTGCCCACCTTTATACATATGTATTAGCAAATATAATTATTGCCTTTAAAAGCCCTGAAAAACCCTTCTCTTCCATCTACTGAAGTGCTGGCTCCAAACTCCACTGCAGAGCGCTGCCTAGCTTCCAGCGAGTTCATATTAACCATTTCTGGATGCCACAAAGTGCAACAAATTAAGTCCTGAAATAACCCACTCATGCAAAGTCCAGTTTTGCTCTCAAAATCTTGTTTCTCTTCCATTTTAGAGGTACATTAAAGGAATATTCAGCAGAGTCATGGGGGCAAGGTAGATCACTGCCCCTTTGGCCCATCAGGCTACCAATTGCCACTCCCAGCATACAGCTACATTCTCAGGGCCACGTGCTCCTCCTATAAGCCCTTCAAGGACCAGCCATGACGGGGGAACATTGTGCCCACAAGTGGCATCAAGCTCTCTGTTTAGGCCCTCTACGGGGATGAGTTCACTTGGAAGTGGCTAACTGTGACGACTGAAGTTGCTACATTTCACCTCCTGGGCAGAGCTTCATGCGTTCTCTTCTCATAGTCACTGGGTTTGGTCCTCCATCCTGATCAGGGAGGCTGTTTATGCCCAAACCCAAACAGTGGTCATGTATTCAGCAAGCAGGAGTCATGTTCTTACACCCTGAGGCATCCACCAGGCCCAGCTAATATCCATTAAATGTTCACTGCATGCCAGGCTCTTTACTAGGGTGTTTTGTTTTGCTTTTTAAGCATTTAGCTTCTCATTCGAGCCTCACTATAGTCTACAGAGTACATCTCTATTCCCATATTCTGGGTAAATAAACTGCTGCACAGGGTTGGTTATGTGACTTGCCTATGGTCCTCCCAGTGAAAATCCGGGCAGTCTGATTCCAGAGGCCACACATTTAAATACTACTATGAGTCACCCATCATGCAGTGGCTCGGACCCAGGACAGCGGCTCAGCTCGTGGGTACCCTGTGGGGGAGCTTCCAATAATAATGACAGCAAAACAGCAGCACTAGCAGCCCCCATTTATTGAGGGTGCACTACAGGCGGGGCACTGTGCTCAGCACAGTCTGGGTTAGTCCTGAGGCAGGTGCTATTGCTACCCGCTGTTGACTGAGGATACTGTGGGGCCAGACAGCCTGGATTCCAGGCCTGGCCTCCCTCCTTCCTTACTTTGTGGCCTTCCATGAGTTTCTTTCTCTTTGTGAGCCCCAGGGAGGAGAGTGGCTGGCCTTAATTCCTGTGTTCTAGTGTATTCTTTCTAATTCTAAACCCCCAGAGACTTACCCCTCTTCCATCTTTGGAGCCCTCCTCCTAAGTGACTACAAACTCAGGGGCACCTGGCTGTCAACACGGCTTGCCCAGCTAGCTCCTCTCCCCTACCCACTTCTGTGGTTACCTGACTCTTCTCCCATCAGCAAAATACAAGTGTAGATTTGGAAATCCAAAAGGTAAAACAAGGGAGAAAATCCAGATGCTGCAACCACATGGTTCTAGAGTCATACATCACAGAGCCAGAAGAGGCCTGAAAAAATCATCTAGCCCAGTTTCCTGCTTCTGGCTGGTATTGTTCTCCATGAGGTCATGGCCAACTTAGAACCTCATATTTGATGCACACTCTACACACCAGGGGGGCTCCCAGCTGCCCCTCGTCACCTCGTGAATGTTCTGATGGGGGCGGGTATCTTGGAGATGGAGCTTTCATTGGGAAGAACAAAGAATTTTTTTTAAAGCAGCTACAGCCTAGTTGGTAAGGCCCCTTTGGGGATGATTCTTTCTCGGTGTTTCCCCCTGCCCCCATCCACCCGCTGCCTCGCCTTTTCTCTTCAGATGGCTTTTCCATTCAAGGAGCTTGTCTTTCCCCCAACCTGCTGCTTGGGAGCAACAAACTCTAGAGTCAGGCTATTTAGGTTAGACTCTTGCCCCCTGCCACTTACTACATATGTGATCTTAGCGGGTGATGAATGGGTTCCTCTCCTCATTTACATTTTTGTCCAAACATGGCCTTCTGGGGCAGGCCATTAACACATACTCAGCTGATTCCCGAAGGGGAGGGTTTTGTTGACCATCAGCAATATAGGGTTGTAAGTCCACAGACAAGGAACTTTTACGGTTGGTAAAAGGTGCTTTGAATTTTCCTGGGAGCAGGTTGTAACATCTTACTGGTTCCCTCATTAATTAATGAGTTAAATAAAGATCTTGAACATGTTTAACATTAAAAAATAAATGAAGTGAGAAAGGAACCTTCTGGCACTCACATCTACCTCAAAGTTCAGATGTGGGGGTGTTCACCAGAGGCATTTCCACCTATAGGAACTGTCAGGAAAATAGAGGCTCAGCTACAGTGACAATTTCTAGTTCAGGCTCTACACAGACATTAAAACCTCTAGCTCATTCACTTCTTTTTTTTTTTTAAAGATTTTATTTATTTATTCATGAGAGACACACAGAAAGAGGCAGAGACATAGGCAGAGGGAGAAGCAGGCTCCCTGCAGGGAGCCTGATGCAGGACTCGATCCCAGGATCCCGGGATCACGACTTGAGCCAGAGGCAGACACTAGCCCCGAGCCACCCAGATGCCCCCAGCTCATTCACTTCTTAATGGAACAAATGTTTGCAGGATACATATGCTAGGCATTGGGGTACAGGGAGGACCACAACACTCTCCATGCCCTTGAGCGGCTCGCAACCTAGGGAGGAAAACACAGAGCGTCACACAGAGCATAGTGGTGCCTCAGAGGAAAGGCACCTCATCTTGCTTGGGGAGGGCTTCAGGGAAGGCTTCCTGGAGGAGGTGATGCAGGAGCTGAATCATGAAGTATAAGTTTTCTAGATGAAAGAACGGAAAAGGGTTGAGGAACATTCCAGGCAGAAGATACATGTGAAAGGATCTGGCGGTCTATAGAAAGAGGACTGGCCAGCCGTCCAGAATATGGTGAGCAATTCAGCCTCTCAGAGCACAGGGCTTACAGCAGGGCAGGAAAGCAGGGCCCGATCTCGGACACTTTCGTTTTGCCCTGACTTGAAACCACCAGCTGGCCTCGGGAGACCTGGGTGGCACACTCTGGGCACGGCGGAGGGGCCTCGTGAATGAGAGCCCTGCTTGCTGACCAGGTCAGGATTTGTTGGGTAACCGCCACGGGTGACCTCTTGGCACCGTCTGACTTCTGGCGCTGAGCCCAGCAGCCCCCTCAGGGTTGGGAGGGGAGGAAGACAAAGAGGGTTTGTGGGAATGAGAGCCAATTGTTAAGATTTCAGAAATCTTACAAGCCAGTTGTTACACTCGGCCTTTACTTTAAAGATAAATTGCATACACTTACAATTAAATAGATTACTTTAAAAACAAAGTATATACACAATTAAATAGATTACATTAGAAACAAAGTATATACTCAAAGCTCATCACATCCTAATGATTGTACTACTTTTTACTCTTATACTAAGCTCTTATTTAGGTCCTACTGTGTCCTTAGGGTGGAAATGCTACATAATAGCATGCCACTGAGCATCTCTTTCCAAGTCCCTGTTCAGTAACAAGTCAGGTCCCTGGCTGAAATTAGCCAGGGTGGGAGTATTTACACCACACTAGAAACTAGGCTCCCCTCCCTGAGAGCAATTTGCTACATTTTTACCAGCACACCCCTGGCTCTGGGTCCTTTTCTTTCTCCCTCTCTGTACTTATCTCCAAGGCCAATCGCTGTTTTCAGGAAAAAGAGCAATCCTGAAAACTAATTTATGTGGATATGCGAAGTGCCAGGAGTCTAGATTTCTGGTTTGGGCTCTTAGGTAATTTGTTCTTCAGCAGAGATCTTCTGGAGTGGCCACGATGGTATGATCAAGAGATATTTTTAGACCTGCCTTTCCAGAGGCGGTTGAAATGTAGACGATAGGAGTACCTGGGGGGCTCAGTTGATGAAGCGTCTGCCTTCCGCTCAGGTCATGATCTCAGGGTCCTGAGATCTGAGCCCTGCATG